CATACCAATGGCTCGTACCACCAAGGGCTTCGCGGCCGCCAATCGTTTGTTGGACCTTTTTGTTTCATCTGAATGTCATACAGAGCACAGGTTGTGCTTTTTTTTTTTTTTTCCTTCTTATCTGTGGTGTATCAGTATTAGCCTGGCATGGATCTGAATGGCGAAATCTCTCCCTTTTTTCTCTCTGGCACCCGTTAGTTACAACGGCAGGAATTCTGGTTGGATCGCCAAACGAAGGGTCTGTGCTGCTGCTGCTGCTGCCCAGTTTTTTTTTCCTTCTCGTCGTGCCGTGTTTGGTGTGGATGTATGTACGGTCTGTATGGACGAGGTGCAAGCGACACATATGTATGTACGTACGTACATGTATGTATGGCCCAGCTGTCTCATGTGATGGGGTATAATACGGGAGAGACAAAAACCAGTCGGCCGTGGCTACTACTACTACTGTGTATCCAAGCCGGAGTCGGTTCGGAATCTTGTTTCTGCATGGGTCGGCATGTTGGTTAGTTAGTTATATGTGGTGGGGAAAGGGACAACGACTCTCCCGCAGCATTTGTTTTGCACGTTTCTTGCGTCGAAAGAGAGGGTTTTACGGTGTCGACGGAGTATGGCCGTTAGAAATAAGTCTCAGCCTTTACTTTTTTTTTTTTTTATGGTGTTTCAAACAACAGGCCCCCAGCTGGTGGTGCTCCAGCACGGGCCACGGGGGTGTTCTACCTGTAGGGCTTGGGTGCAGCGCAGTGGTGTAACAGACGGCGCCGTGGACGGGCCAATCTATTTGGTTTCTGAGTTTCTGGCTCTCTGCTCTCGCTCCCTCTCATGCGAGAAAGTCAATCTTGCAGCGGGCGAGAGAGAGAGAGAGAGAGAGAGATGGCTGGGTTTCCCCTTCGGATCCAGAAGGATAGGCGCTTGGGCGCTGGGGTCTCTTTTTTTTTTGACGCACACTGGGTCGGAAGTGCAGGGTAGATGCATGCATGTATGGGCTTGTGTTTGCTGCATCCTGGAGGGGGGAGGGGGGAGGGGGCTCGAACCAGGGAGTTTGTTAGTTCGTTAGTCGCTACGAGTATTATTATTATTATTATTATTCCAGCAGCGCACATGATGGGTGTCCTTCTTCCACTGACGAGATTATTAGTATTATTATTATTCTCCGTAGCACCGGCTTCCTTCTCCGTAGGCCTGCCGTCTTGGTGTCACAGGCGAGCGTTGACTAAAGGGCGTGCGTGCCGGCGCAGCACCCCGGTCCTGGTCGCCGCCCGACTCGCCGCGCCGCCGTCGTCGTGGTCGTTGTCGTTGTCGTGGTCGTGGGCCGTCGCGGGCAGCAGTGCGTGCATTATTTAGGTAGTGAGTCGTGAACTAACTCCTGGTGCTCGATCAAGGCATCGAGCACAGGACCAGTCGCAAAAATAAAAAAAAAAGACTGGTAACTACAGCGCGCACGGCGCCTCGACCCAGCGTTCCACCGATCTGCGCGGCCGGGGGGGAGCAGGAGGCGATCGGCGTCATGGACTGACATTGTGCTTGAGGGATTCTTCTTACGCCGCCCGTGTGTGCCTTTTGGGAGCGCTGCGGGGTTGCTGGGGCCCAGCCGGCCTTTTTTTTTTTTTTTTTTTCTTGGGCTAACTAACTTAGTTAACTCACTCAACTCCGTACAAAGACACGCTCAAGAACTTTTCGCCGCTGGCGGGCGCAAGGTTGGGGCTAGAAACCTTCCACCCACGCCTGGCCTGGCTCGGCCTCGGGCTCGCGTGTGGGGTGGTTGCAGCATCCTGGTCGAAGTAGTTCGAGGGAGCAAAAGCGCACGGCAGCTGGCGGGCTTTGGAATCCGGCCGGCGGGTCGTGTGTGTGTGTGTGTGTGTGTGGGCGGCAGCTCGAGGGAGCAATACTGTATTAATTATTATTATGATCCCGTACTCCAACACAATAGATGGCATGCACGCGCATCCTGGCGGGCGAATGGCGGGCGTTCCGCTCGAATCCCACGGGCGTGTGCGTGTGTGGAGGATGCGCGGCGCCCCCCCCCAGGCTGGCTGCGTGCCCTGTGGCCGGCCGCGCATTTGCAATCGCCGCGAGGGCAGGACGGAGCAGTTATGTAGTTAACATCAAATGCCTGCCCGGCCGTAGCTTAAGAGCAGCCTATTCTCTGCGGCCAACGGCGATTGGCGGCGGGCAGCGCCTACGCATAGTTATATATCATTCTGGCGATTCTTCGTGTGCGCTGCCCGAAACGGCGCCCGCTGAGTTCGCCAGAACCGCCCACGGCCTGCGCTTCTCCGCAAACCGAACCAACCAACTAGCTACACTAACTTAGCCGTGCCACCCGCCGGGGCCTTGCTGGCCGCCTGGCCTCTGCGCTGCACTGCACTGCACTGCGCTGCGCTGCGCTGCTCATCACCCGCTTGCTGCTTGTTAATCCGCCGCCGCCCGCTGGCTAACTAGTTACCACCCACCACCTCATCCCCCTCCCCAGCCTGCCTGCCGCCACCAACCCCCAAACTCGCTTTGCGCTGCGTTGCGTCGCGTAGCTTTTCGCGGGTTGCTTGGCCTTGTTTTTGCTGCCGCAGCTCAGCTCAGCTCAGCTCTGCTCTGCTCTGCTCTGCTCTGGCCTGGTTCCGTGGTTCTGCGCGTGGCCTGCGCTAAGCCTGCCAAACGGCGCCTGGCCCTCTCCGCCGCCGCCGCCGCCATCGTCCCCCCCGACGCTGCTTGCGCTCCTCGTTCGTCGTTCTTCTTGTCTCCCCCCCCCCCCCCCCCCCCCCCCCCCCCCCCCCCCCCCCCCCCCCCCCCCCCCCCCCCCCCCCCCCCCCCCCCCCCCCCCCCCCCCCCCCCCCCCCCCCCCCCCCCCCCCCATCATCGCATCCTCATACTCCTCCCACGCGCCTCGTCCTCCTCTCTCCGCTTCCCACCTCCCGCCTCCCCGCCATCCCAGACTCAACGCCTGGTCGCCCCGTCCCCCGAACCTGTGCCTGCGCCGTGCTGCGGGCCTCTCCCCTCAACCTCGCGCTCGCAACACACGTTCGTCTCAACCACACCCCGTGCGCGCGCGCGCGCGCCAACTCCCCCGACCTGCCCTCCGCCTCGCGTCTCCGTTGAATGACCCTTAGACGCCCTCGACGGTGCGCCTGCCGAGCTGAGCGCGCTGCCTCCGCCCTCTAGACTGCAAGCCACCCGCTCCCACCCTTGCTGCTGCTTCTTCTCGCGGCCGTGTGAGCGTTGGGGTGGCGTTGCCAGCCGATCGACTGCTCATATCGCCTAGACTGCATCCAAGGTGCGGACGGACGTCTTTCTCTCTCCCACCCCCTCGGTGTCGCTGCTGCGTGCTTTGCTTCGTCGAGCTAACAGCTGCTGTCTCTTGTAGACTTTGTTTCCTTGTTATTTCGTTCGATCCCCGTACTCCCCCCTCCTAGATTGAGCTTAAGGTAAGAAGAACACCGTTGTTATCTCTCCTGTCTCGAACGTCTGCTGCTCTCCCACCCCCCCTCTCTCTATCTCTCTTTCTGCCCGCTGTGGTACCTCCTCCTCGGACCCCGCGCGCTTCGGCCTTCCACTGGACTCTCTGCCCGTTCCGGACGGTCCGAAGCTGGCTCTATTGGGACCTACGTGCTATATGTCCGGCGCGTAAGGAAGCAAATACCCGCATGATTGCTGCTTGCGAGCTGTTGGCGTCTGGCAACGGGAGCCACTTGGACCACCTGATACCCCGTCGAGACTGCTGCTTGCTTGCTTGCTTGCTAGCTAGCTAGCTAGCTAGTTAGCTAACTAGTTATACCCAACCACCAAACGGCCTTTGCCACTGACGTCTTTTCTTCTCTCTTCCTTGCATAACTACCACAACGCAACACTCCAACACCAAACTCCCTTTCCCTCTTCTGACATTGCTTCTCTTCTGCACTTCTTTTTCGTCGCATGTCACATATCCTGTTCCTTTCGTCGCTTCTTTCCTGCAAGTTTGCCCTTAGTAATTCTTCCCTTCCTGGCTTCAGTCACCTTCTAACCTCACTGCTCTTTCACTCTTCACCACTCTCCTCCTTCTCTAACCCTCTCACAACTCTCACCCAACCACTCTACTCCCCTCACTCACTCCCTTATCTAATTCACTTCCTTCTCACCTTCCTCTAACCTTGCTTTCGTCGCATCCTTTCGTCCTCACTTGCGCTCCCCTCACTTACACCTCACTTGGTCTTCTTTCGTCGCATCACTTCTCTTCTTCATCTCCCACCTCCTACTACACCCCTCATCAATTCCTTTTGTTTTTCTTGCATCTTCTGAGAACAATTTCATCAGCTATTTACTGTTATATTGCTTCACTTGTTCCCTTAGTCCCCTCACAGCACTTCTGTTCCACCTCCCTATTCACTTGACCCTAGTTATAGCTGCCTTTATCATTGCCCCTTCGCCACTTTAGCTACTCAGCTCCCTCTCTTGGTTACTTTTATGACATTTCGTCGCATCTTTTTCGTCACAACTGTGGTTTTCGTCTCTGCTGGGCCCACCTGCTGCACAGGCACGGCAGCTGCTTCCTGAAACTGGTCTCAACCGGCCCCACAGATATATCACTGCGTTTACGGCTACGCGCGTTTGTATCGGCCATCGACATAGGAGGTACCATACGATTTTTTACCTGCGCCGTACCATGTCATTCATTGTTTATTAGCATATGTTTGCCTACTTATTTGCATGAACTCGTTTCTAACCGTGTGGCTGTACAGAGAACCAAATCCGCCAACGCAAATACACGATAACGTATCAGACATCTTCGGCATCATCGAGAAAGACATCGATTTGAATAGACAATCGCGGGTCTTGACCGCCGATGAGTCGCTATACAACGGCTGGCCTATCGTGTCGCTAATAAATTTTGGATTCTAGATTCTTTCTCGCAGGTCCCATATTCGAGAATATCTTCCACTATTTCTCTATTTGAATCTCTTCAAGTGCATGGAGATTTATCAATATTAACCTATAAACACTTTCTAATACTCGAATCCTTTCCATAAGCTACCATGGCGGCGTCCAGCAGGGCCAGCCAGTCCTCTAAATCATCACAGCAGACCTATGTTCCGTCTCCCAATAACAATAACACCTCGTTGCTGCTGGAGAAAGCCCGTCAGGGTGATCGTCGTTCTACTCCGGACTCCGAAGCACTCGCATCGTCAGAGGATGAAGTCGACCAGCATCAGTACAATCAAGCGCAGGCCCAGCCTGTTGCCAAACCCGCTAGGCGCACTTCATGGTTGAACGAAATACCCAGCTCAATGCCACGCAAGCCTTCGTTTACCGCGACATCCTTCTCCCCGGTGAATTCTAACCCGACAACACCTGCTGCCGATCAACCAGCCTGGGGCGCCACTGCGACAAGCCCAGGGATTACTGGATCGTTTAATTGGGCCTCCTCAGGAAACGGATCATTCCCGTGGGGAACTGGGATCTGGAATGCAGAGGGTCGCAAAGAACCCCCATCGCGATTGTCTGAAGTCCTGCACTCCCCTACATCTGTTCATCCGCCAAATTTCGGCTTCAGCGGTGCAGATGATGTTATCAGCCCCACGGCTCGCAGTTCGACCGAGGCGTCCGTCCCTTTTGCGATTCCGGTGCACCCGACCCCCAAAGCCTACCGTTCGCAGTCGTATTCCGTCGGACAGTTGGATCCAGAAAGCACCCATATCACTCCACCGAAGGCTGTTCCGCCCATGTCGGCTACTCGCAGCAGAAACAGCGCCCAGTACTCCGTTCAGCGCCGCTCCTCACGACCTAGTCTGCTCGGCGAGTTGGGACGCGACTCCGCGGTTTTAGGGCGTGTTCGCGAAGACGAAGATGATGATGTCAGCCCCAATGATTCTGAAGGCAATGCTACTTGGTCTTCTAGTCAGGCACGTACTATCGAGCAACTGGCTTTAGAGAATGCACTTTTGCGTCAAGCTGCGTCAAGTCAGCTTGAAAGCGCGCGATTTAGGGATCGAACCCTTTCTTCTGCTTCCGCTAACAGTGGATATTCTTTTGCTCAGGGCCATAAACTACATCCTATCCATGGCAGCGTCCCCGAGGAAACCGATCAGGCCGTCGAAGACCTTGACGAGCTCGGCGGCTTTGCCGGATATAACAACTCTCTCAACAACGCACGGCGACGCTTCAGTCTACACTCTGCTAATGTGGAAAAGCAGTACCCTACCTTCTCTCCGTTGGAGAATCGTACTTTGGAGAATATTAAGAGGGCCCAATGGCAAAGTTCCCTTGGCTTTGGCAGTATTAGCGAGCTTCCGCAGAGTCGCCGCCACTCCTTTGCTGACGTCCCTACGAGAAATGTCTCCTCGTTTCCCGGCGCTGCAGAAAACCATCCGCCCGTTGGCACGGCTTTTAAGAAAGATGAGGGCATTGGAAATTATCTGGATACTGGCTCAAATATGCCGCAGGCTGATAACCGTGAGTATATGAACTCTCGTAACAACCAGTCCCTTACCGAGCGCGCAAAGGAGCTGGAAACTCTACGCGCTCGTCAATTCGCTGCTTCATATTTCTCAGGGCATGATGTTTCCGACCGTTCCGGCGAACCTGCACCTTCAACTGGTATCTCTACTGCTTTGCACCAAGCATATGTTATGCCCAACGCCTATGGCCGTCAGCATGCAGCTCTCGCTCAGCCTCATCAAAACCAGCAGCTTTTTGTCGTCACGTTCAAGTGTTGCAGAGCAGATGTCTTCTACATCCAAGAGGATACTGGCTTGCAGGTTAAACCTGGTGATCTTGTCATTGTTGAAGCGGATCGAGGAACCGATCTTGGCACCGTTGCGCATGCGAATATCAGCTGGCAGAATGCCCGAGAGCTGAAAGAGCAATATGCCGAGGACCACTACAAATGGTTGATGCTGTTCTCTCGCCAAAGCCAGTCTGGAACTCCCCATGCTGTAAACCCCAATGGGGCTACTCCCATGGCAGGAAGTGCAGTCGGCGGTATGGGTCCTCAGGGTCAGCATACAGGGCAGGAGGTCCAGGGAGGCGATATTAAGCCGAAATTGATCAAGCGACTCGCACAACACCATGAAATTCAAACCCTTCGTGATAAAGAAGGGAACGAAGCAAAGGCGAAGCGCGTTTGCCAGCAGAAAGTCGTTGAGCATAGATTGAATATGGAGATTCTTGATGCAGAATTTCAAATGTAAGTCACGCCTATTTTCAAAGTACTCCAGGAACAAATTTACTAATCTATGGATTGTAGGGACTGGAAAAAACTTACCTTCTACTATTTTGCCGATACGTATATCAATTTTAATTCTTTGGTCACGGATTTATTCAAAATCTATAAAACTAGGATTTGGATGTCTGCGATTAACCCTGCTTCGTTCGTCACGCCGACAGCTGGACTGCAGATTCCCGGAACCCTCACTTCTTCGTCTTTGGGCTATGATCTCCATGCAGATCGTCGTCGTCAACATGATTACAAAAAATTCGGAACGGGCATTAACCAGGGATTGTCACCCGGCATCTTCTCTGAACCGTTGAATAGAGATGTGGCTGGCCAGGCGATGCCAGTCCATTCCCCTTATTTGGATCAATATCAATCAATGGTTAATGCGGCAAGGCCCGACTCTGGCTACGTTGGTTATACTCCTGGTATGCAACCCCAGACAGATCCCTTCGCCACCTATCCGTCCTCCTACGGCGTGGCTGACCCCGCAGCGGGCCCTGGATTTGCTGCAACTGGCATTCGCAGAGGGCACCCTGGGCAGGATGAATGGTCAACCCGTTTCCAGGGCCTCTCACTTGGCTCTTAGCTTCAATGAGTTATAATAATTAATTTGCGATCTTGCCGCTGTTCCCATCGGCTTTGCAAGCTTTTACACCTTATTTTTTTCTCGCGCTGCATGGAGCTCATTCCTTCTTTTTCTATAACTATGTTATTTTTGTTCTTCTGCTCTGGTTTTTCCTGAATATTTTTGCGCTTTTTTGTACCACCCTACCATGGTTCCTTTGGCTCTCGACATACAGGTGAACTAGACATACACTTGGCAACAACAGGCTGGCGCAGGAGCTTAGGATATGGATATTTTAAACGGCTTTCTTAATTTTCAGTTCCTTCGACACCTCCCGATAGATTTACCTCGACTCATGACTTACGTTTGGCATCACGTTGCGACATCATTGACCATGGCAGCGCTCGATTTCATGTACTGCTCGCGTTTTCTTGCCACATGCCGTTTTTTTTTCAACACATCGCTTTCTTTTTATAATATTGCTCGCTTCACAACAAAATTCACGACTTGGTTTACGAAATCCTAAGAGAAAACAAACCGAGACTTTCGACTCCTTTCGACACCCGAACCCGAGATTCAAGATTCGTCTTCTATTAATCTAAACTGGATATTTGCTAGGCTCTTTCTTAACTTTATGACGAGACAATTGCCTGGGCAATTTCCTATATTTGAAACAAAATCGAGAAAAATAAAAGGGCATTAAAGACTGGATGGACAATTTGATTTTGTTACCCCCGCGATGGAATTATGAACCTCACCTCTATCGGTTTTACCGAGCTCTTCCTATGCTATACTACCGCTTACGTCTCCGGCCAACTCGACTTTCCTGGACCAGCCGCCTTTTTGAAATTGGAAACCGGAAGACTCCGAGAACCTCTCCAGCACTTTCTCTTTTTCTATGACTCCTTTGCTAAGCAAGTTTTTCTTATTCTTTTTTATCGTGTAACTATATTTATTACTACTGCATATCTTATCTTCCCCTGACTCGACAGCGATTTTTTCCGTTGGGCCTGAGCCGAGCACCGCTCATTTTATACAACTATACCCCCCATTCATTTTTGTGCTTCTCTTTACCTTGAGATATGGATGGTTGGGGGATATTAGAAGACAAAGTCCTTTCAAGCTTAATCTGTGGTGCCCAGTCCTTTCTGATATACTACTATGAAATCGCTTGTTGAAACCCTTCGATTTTGTGCTCCACCTCCAGCGTTGCACTGCAGATTGGTGTTTCATTGGCACTGCGAATGTGTTTTTTCTGCTTTTTGAGCCTTAATTTGAGATTTTCAATTTTTTTCCCCCTCCTTTTATTGCAAATGCAGAGAACTTCATCGGATAGGATTGTTCTTAATCGGATTTTTATTGATCTGTGCTGGAACGATGTGATCACATGACTTGACTACAACGAGTTGCCATTTTGGGACATATACCGTAAGCTAGACCTCACAGAAGATGTTAACAGTTGTAATAGCCCAAGTAGACAATGGCATACTCTAAACGGGCAGGTAAGCTGTATATGGCACATCGTCTGACAAAAGTCATGTTGTTTTCGAAACTCACAGCTAACTATTAGAGCACCAGGGCCGCAACAATCCAAGGCAGGCAACAAAGCCGCTCCCAAGCAAAATAGAACAGTGGAGAGAACGGCTTCAGCTCAGACTGCAGCTTCCAACGCCAGCGATGACGACTATGCCGATAACGACGTGCTTGAGAGCCAGGACGGCTCGGACGATAGTATCGGGGGATTGGAGGAAGCCAGGTAAGAATACCAATCAACACCCCCCCCCCCCCCCCACCACTGCGGTACCGTTCTGTAAGGAGGCCGGTTGGGGCTGAGAAAACGCGTGCGTTTAGGCTGGCGCTGAAAGCCCTGCAGGCGGCGATGGAACGAGCGGAGAAGAGGGATGGGTTCGCGAAGAAATTCGAAGCGGAAGTGCGCGAGGATGAGAAGAGGCTCTTGGAGATGCTGGATGCGGAGCAGAAGAAAATGTACGTATGTTTGTTTGTTTAGTCTCTCTATTGCTGAGTTTTGCAGTGGGAGAAAGAAGGAGATGAAGAGGAAAAAGAAAAGAAAAGAAAACTAGCTTTAACTATCTGTCTAGTCAAGCGGAAGAGGAGCAGTTCAAATCTCGATTTGAATCCCTTTTCAGATCTGCGCTGGCGCCGCCTTCCGTCATGCCCAAGGACATAGAAACGTCAGAGGAGAACCCCAGCATGCAAAACGTTGGACTCGAGGAACAGCCTCTGTACCGCATGACCAAGGATACCCTCGAGCGGTCCCACAAGCTATTAGAAATGTTCAACAAGCTCAACGACCACGCATCAAGCATCAAGCCCCTGCCCGATCTGTCAGAAAGATGGGAAAAAGACCACGCCGAGGTGCAGCGGCTGATCAAGGTCGGCAGCGAAGTGTCCGCGGAGGAGATTGAGAGGCTGATCATGTATGAAAATCCCGAGAATCCGCTGCGGAATTCGATTTCCCAGTGGCGCCGGAAGAGGAAGAGAGGGGTGGAGGATGATGAGAATCTGAAGAATATGTTAGATCTGGGAAAGGCGGGTGGTGAAGGAGGCAGTCGAGGTGGGGGGAGGCGTGGTTGGGGGTTGGTGGCGCATCAGGTTCAGAAAGGGTTCGAGGCGCTGGTGAAGGCGTTGCCGGAAGAGGAGATGCAGGAAGAAAGGGAAAGGTGCTAGTGGTAGGGGGGATGTATGTAGTTGTTTAATGAGGATATTAGCATTTATTAGGAGTTAAGAAATGATATCAAAGACTAGAGCATGAATGACATCTTTTTAACGTTTAGAACAACCATTTCACACCCATATTTTAAGTGGTGATTATACAAATACAAGTATTGACAGTGGAGCAAGATATATTGCAAAAGACTGAATAGAGAAAAATTCAATAGATGTGCCGAAGCACATCTACGCTTGCCAGATGCCTGGTACGGCGTATGGTATTTAACACTATAAGTCGTATATTCCATAGGCTGATGTGTTGAAGTGTGGCGTTGGGCAGCTGGAGAAAAGACCATTTTTAACCCCCCAGGTACATAGAAGGCTGCATGATCAGCCTGGTGGGTGACTAGCATTGTCTTCTCGTCGAATTTCATCCAGGCCCTCCTCAAGGTTAACTTGTTCGATACGTATTGCGGGTGTGGTGAGGGAGAGAGAGAGAAGAATGTGAGCATAAAAATGTGTACCCGTAAAACCTCTCTTTCCAGATGCCAAGCTTGATTGGTACTTGGGCCAGAGGCCTGAAAACCCTATGTAAATCCATTTCTGAGCGATCTTGAGGTTGGGAGAAGATGGATCAGGATGACTAATCACGAATACTAGTCACGTGCCCAGCCTCGCTTACACGATTTTAGCGTTTTCCACACAACGTGCAACGATTGCGAGAGTATCGAAGCGACAACGACAACCAGGGACGACAACCCAAATACGACAAGGTGAGTTGATCTACTGACATCAAAATTGTGCTAGGCCGATTCCTTTGCCATAGCAATACTTTTTCAAGTACTAATCGCTCCATTGAATGATTCTAGATGGGTGCTCTTAAATATGTGGAAGAGCTTCAGCGCAAGAAGCAGTCCGATGTGATGCGCTTCTTGCTGCGCGTGCGATGCTGGGAGGTGAGATAAAAGATTTCCAACCAGGACTCCGAGACCGAGACCGAGAAGAAGAGAACTCCGCGCTTCCCGAGCTATGCCACATTTCCGCTCGAGAAATTTACACTTGGTTGTGTGGCACACTCAATGAGAACAAGAGGGGAAAATCCTCGATGTTCTCGGTCTCTCTGTGTGTCTTGCTATACACTCGTTGAACATTGCTGAGAGTGCATCAATATAGCTCCGTCAACTCAATGTTATCCATCGCGCTTCCCGCCCCTCTCGTCCCGACAAGGCCCGCCGCCTCGGATACAAGGCCAAGCAGGGCTATGTTATCTACCGTGTTCGTGTGAGACGCGGTGGACGCAAGCGACCAGTCCCCAAGGGTGCCACCTACGGTATGTTTGCCGTGCTCATTGTGGAAGGACGCAAATTCTGACCTTTTCTTTTCAGGCAAACCCACCAACCACGGTGTTAACCAGCTCAAATACCAGCGCTCCCTCAAATCCACCGCAGAGGAACGTGTAGGCAAACGCTGCGCCAATCTCCGTGTCCTCAACTCGTACTGGATCAATCAGGATTCTACCTACAAGTACTACGAAGTCATCCTTGTTGACCCCCAGCACAAGGCCATCCGTCGCGATCCCCGCATCAACTGGATCGTGAACCCTGTCCACAAGGTAAGTTTAATTTTTGATGCATCTTCGAAACGCAATACTTACTCTGATACTTTTAGCACCGCGAATGCCGTGGCCTCACCGCAACCGGCAAGAAATCCCGTGGTCTCAACAAGGGCCACCGCTACAACAAGACCACCGCCGGCAGACGGAAGACCTGGAAGCGCCACAACACTCTCAGCCTCTGGAGATACCGATAAACGCGACGCCTTACGATTGTTTTTCGTTGCGTCGGTGGATTGGGGCTTTTGTGGGGGTCTTTGCCGGTCTTTTAACACACCATCTTTGCCGCAAAATACTGTTTCCTACATCACAGGACTATTTCTCTCTGCGGATATGATATGGAGACTAGATGAAATGATTAGGAATGAAAATACAATAATCATTGCTGATGATAATATGATTCGTATCAAATACGTTTTTGAACAATGCAAGGCTGTTGCAGACAACAAAAAGTAATTCCATTCATAAATTTTCATATCTTTTTCATCGCTTTCCACCCAATGATTAATTACAGTAGGATTGGTCGTATTCTGTACAAAATCGTAGTGTTGCCTCCCGCTCGAAATAGCTCAAATTCGCCAAATCCATCACCTTGAGGAAATCGTGTATAAGTTCTCTAGTTTAAACGCCGTAATGCAACACAAAGATATCATATATGGGTTATCAATATTTTTCTCACAAGTGCGGGGAAATTTCAAATGTCCGAACAAACTAGTAGGCGTTGGGATATTAAGTGGCGGTAGGATTTGATGGTGCGCATTATAAGGCGGGCACTTCCCAATTATCTCGACTGATTTTCATCACAGCCGCTTGCTTGTGTGGAAAGGTCACCTCCCCCTCCTTGTAAAAGCCAGCTTCTTGGAGGTTGGAGATGAATCTAGTTGCATTGCAAGTCAATAAGTAGATCCAACAACAGCATAAGAATCAAGGAACTCACCTCTCGTTATCCACCCTAGGTTCGAGAATCACATTCTCTGTTCGACTATCTGCCAACCAGCAAAAGTGGACCAGTGCAGACATCCAGATCTGCACTCGATGGTCGCTCCGGTATTCATCTTCGCCTATCAAGCAGTGGAATCCGCGATCCCAATTACCCACAGGGGTGGCGAGTAGTCTCGCAATGTTCGATTCTTTAATCCAATAAATTTCAAAATACCCAAAAGGTTTTCCATTCCAGCAACCAAATACTGGAAACGAATATCGGGACGCAAATTGTTTTCGAAGGAAGGCTTCTTGCGTAGAACGCGGACCAGCCGCGCCCCACGCGGCGTTGATGCGTGAGTTATTCATCCATCGGTGTAAAATGTCGAGGTCTGATTCATTTTCCGGTTTTAAGGGCGAGCATACGGATGACCCGTCGATGAGTGAGGTGGTACTTGAGGATTTGCGGTGGCTGATCCTTATGTCATTGAATGTGAAAGAATCCCTTGGGCTGAGTACTGGCACCCGAAAAGAGAGCGTTTGGCCCACACTCCTAACATAACGAACATAGAACGTTTCGCCTTGCCTTGGGGGCTTGGGGCGGGCAGGATGGCGAACTCCATTCGTCGTGATGAAGTGTGCAGGGGCCGGTGGGAAATATGTTGGAAGGTGACTTGCAGAGTAAAATGGGCCGCCCGGCAACGATGGATGGAAGACGTGTTGTTCAGGAGATAGGATAGCAGAGGCGACTTTTGGAGATGACATTCCAAACTCCCTCGACGGCGATGCCGGCCGAGAAAAATGCGGTGAATCGATACCCGACCGAATTGCGGCGGGCTGAAGAGTGAAGAGAAAGATTCTCGGATCGAGTTGCCAGAAGGATCGGCGACTGACATAGACGTCGCCCCAAATATCTTGATAATTGGGGTCCGCAGGATCAAGGCCGACCGATGAGTCCGAACTCGTTACTAGGCCCATGCGCTCTAGCTTCTGCAAGAGATGGCGGCCTTTGAAAACACCCTCTCGTCTGATATACACGCGCCAATCACCCTTGGGACGCCCAGATTCAGGCGTTAAACTGGCTTCAGGTGTGCAAATCCGTAAATTGGGCTCGGGAAGATGGAAGTACCAGAAGAGGGTTGCCCAGAGCAGCATCGCAATCTCTCGCGTGGGAGAGGACGCAGGCTTGAAATCGGAGCTCGAGGGTAGGAAAATCGACGAGATGAAGAGAGAATCAGAGTCGCGAGTTGGTACTGTGAAACGCGAAGCATTGCCACGCGGAATGGGCTTGCTGCCCATCGCTGGAGTTTGTGGCCTTGAGCCGGACGCGGCACGCGACGCACCTGAGGAAGAGCCATTGGATGCGAACGAGAGGGCGGATTCGGGTCGATTCGTTCCGTCTGCTTGGGCAGAGCGATCTGTTTGGATGACAATGTTCCAACCTGGAGGTAGGACTGAATGACTTAAATTGATATTGTTATTTTTGAATGTCATCCCCCCAAAAACAGGGGTGACGGCCAGGACATAGCCATTGGGAAGGCGAACTGGGTCCGTGGACATCGGAACAAGGTCAGGAAACGTATTCCGGGCGCAAAGGTAGGTCTGGCGGCCAACTTGTGGTATGGCATCAAGGCGAAAACATTGTGGAAGCGAGTGGCCTTTTGACTTTTCCGCCATTGAGCGATCGGAAAGAAAATTTTGAGACGCGCGGGATCAGGCGACGGAGGGTGACGTCATGTGGTGTTCTAGAAGCCTTCGGCAGGACCCGCTAGCCTTATTGGGCTATTCCCTGTTCTTTCTCCGCCTTGGCACTAGCTTAGATAATCCTTTCCCGTGTCACGGGCTTCGCCCTATGGGTATCTGTACCGTGATTGGCGTGCCCTACGGAGAAACGTTTCCCCTCACTCCGCCGTCATCAGCTCGTCATAGAAATCAGGTCAACATGTCTATAAAGACCAGAGGATCCCAGGTTACAGTAACGTCAAAGCCAACGACATCCCTCAACAATATACTCTACTTTGCACAAAAATGCGGATCTCTTTCGCTTTTTGTACGCCCCTTTTCCTGGGATTATGCCTTCGGCTATCTGATGCCATGCGTTTTCATGCCAGCCAAGCGCAGTCTGTCTTGGAAGATCCAGCCGCCCTGGAGCCGCTCTATCGCTTGGACAAGGTTCCTGGAGATAACCCCGCATACTACTGCGACCTTGGGCCCCTCGGCCGTCTGCTGGACGTGAAAGATTTTACGGTCATTCCGAACCCATCTGACACGTGAATTTGTCCTTTTCTTATTCCTTCGTTCTTTCTATCTCTGCTATCTAGGAATCATTTGTTTCCTAGTATGACAAAAGTGTCATTCTATTTTGCTAAGAGGTGTTCCCTACAGATCCTTTCAACACTCCCTTTACCTCTCAGGTTCGACACCGAGAATTCATGGCCTTGACTTACTGAAGCTGTCGATCACAATCTGGCCCGATGGTGGCGATAAACAGGGTCCATTTAAATATCGCCTCCGCGACACCCCTTGGATTTATTTTCGGGAGAATTTCCAGCCACACGATTCCAAGGCATTGGGCTGGGCCGAAATGATGGCCGAAAACGTTTTGGGCAATAGTGTCGTTAAGGAGGGGCTCTATCGAGTCCGTGCAGAACTCTTGTTACCAAATCAGATACCGTTGTTGTGTATGGTCGGTGACGTGTCTCTCAACAGAAACACAGCTATTAAGAGATGATCGATGGCTCCATGGATATATCCTCTGATGTTTTCGGCGGTTTTTTCAGCGAAGGGTATTATGGAACTCGGCGAAGGATTCGATTTTGGCGAGCGATAGCATTTTATAAGGAGTTGTTGAGATATATTTGTTTTATTTGACTTCGATGTTTAAAAATTTGCTGTGGCACCAATCTTCTTTTCTCTTGCAAGTCTAATAAAATCTTGACCAACAACCAGGTCCATCAACCCCAGCCCCATGCACTTATAGACAACGTTGCCCTTTTGAATCCATTCAACGAGTCCCTTGTCCGGCTTATTTGCTTCTTTTTCAATTGCATCTTTCACCATTAGGAGCTCACCAACCTCGACCAACTGCCGTGGTTCTAGACCGGCCATAACTATTTCCCCTGAATGCTGAAGGCTAGTTTCAAGGCTATCCACAACTATCACGCTGCCGTGTGGCAGATTCTTGTGATGGACATTTGGCCGAGCAATATTCGCAAGTAGCTCTGGGTCCAATTCGGCTGCAGTGGGCAAGTTAGAACCAATGGCGCTGATGTACCGGCCTTTTCGTCGGCCGTCAGAACTGGTTAGTATTTTTGCAGGGAAAAGTGGCTCAAGGGACCGCGTGCAGCAGAATATAACGTCGGCTTTCACAACGCTTTCTCGAAGTAGTCTGTCGTATTCCACAAAATCACGACTAAACGCAGAAAATTTGACATGCTGCCGCCACTCTGCATGGTCAGCGGCGTAAATGGTGCGAAGAAGATCTGTGGCTCGTTCGAAAGAACGGTTGATGATATTAACGCGCTTGATATCGTTATACCGTAGCAGGAGAGCTAGACGGATGTGCCAGTATGCTTGGCGGCCAGCGCCAAATACGGTGATGGTGCTGACCTTCTGTCGTCTATAGAAAATCAAGAGAGAGTTCAATGCAGTGCGAAATGCTGTAAACTCCTGTGCATTGATAAGGCCATATGGCAATCCAGTAGAGTCCAGTAACGTCAAGCTAGACGAAGTGTTTACCTCTTTATTTGGGTGTGCGGGAGGTTTGGGACTTGCTGGGCGCGAATGGGACCGCTGTGCGGCAGTTTCCAATTGAAGTAATGCTCCACTCGGTGTAAAATCAACGGGGCGACGAACTGAGTCGTGGGTAGGCACCGTTCGTAGAGTCATTGAAGATGCTGATGCTGACAATGGCCGTTGCTGGCGTATTTTGTTCTCGTTAATTATGTTTTTGGGCGTGTCTGCCACTGTCATCACCTTATATCCATGACTCGATCCAGCTCTGACAGGCAAGAACATGGTGGTTTGGCCATCTCTTTTGGATATTGTGCTGCCTCTTGGTTCAACTTCAGATGAATCTTCTGAGTATTGATGCCCGCTGGAGTAGTCTTTTAATGCCTGTGCCAGATTGATTTGCATCTCGCGCACATCATCTCTTGTTAGTGAGAACAGTAGAGACCGCACATCATCATTGCTGAGGACGGTTAACATCGCGGGCAGATTTCCACTATGCCGAATGTTAGCAATAAACAACATATAGCGTTCATATAATTTTATGATGGCAGTCTAGAGTGTAGACTGGCTATTAAGAATCAATCATGATGCATGTTAGGCACCCTGGTGGATAAAATTTAGAAAGGGTGTTTGTTGTCTCAAAAAATGTGCCTGAAACAGTGACGTCATCAGAGACCAGCCAGGAACATCCGAACGTGTCCTTCACAACCATCAACTGTTCAACAAGAAGGTTAAGTGAATATTATGTACTTCACTGACTAAAAGATGTTAAATGACAATAACAATTGAATTCGCTGAACTGGCTGACCACATTTTCTAGCTGCCTCCAAGAGGAAATATAAATGCAACGAAATGATAGAGAATAAGTATTACTTTCAACAAAAGAGGTTATCATAAAAACAGGCATTACTACGTAAAATAACAAAATTCCAAAACAGAACCTTAGGCAGAGAAAGAAGGGGGGAGTATCAAAGCAAAGAAGCGGGCCGTTAACCCAAAAATATAGAAAGAGTTTAAAGACGAAAAGCTTATCATAACAGTCATTTATGATCCCCACATCTCATTATCGGCCTTTACCATGTCTGCCTGGGTCTGCACTTGCATCCCGTTTTTCTTTTCCATTCTCTTTCGCTCCGTTCTTGTGATCATCCGGCTTGGAGTAAGCGGCGTGATTGGAGTGAAGGGCATATAGGGGCTGTAAGGAGTTTGAGGGATGCCTGTTCGGGGGCCTAACGGGCCAAGAATGCTTTCTCGCCTTTCAACAATGGTTGTCTTGGTGGGTGGAGCGCTCATAGGAGCATTGTTGAAAGCGACACGGAAGGGAAGTGTGGAAGTGCTGCTTCCGGCACTGCGAAGGTGGAGAGGTGGAGGGACGCTATATGTGCTATCGACGGAGGTGTTGCGTAGTTTTTCGTAATGCGGGGGTTTAGATTTGCCTTTCATATGCTGCTGTTGTTGTTGCATGGGATTGAGAGGTGGTGGGCCTGGGTGGTAGATACGTGGTGAAAGGGGCTGGTTTTCGGAGTTACTGGGCGGATTTGGTTCCGGAGATAAAATAGGAGGTGAGATTGGAAGGTTGCGAACCGAGTCTCGCCGCAGTTTCTTGGGGCCTCGAGATCGGGAGCTTAGGAAAGAAAGGGCGGAGAGTCTGGAGAACCTATCACTGCGTGGAGATGGTGGAACTTCTTGCGAATCCGGGGTCTCCCGATACGCCAATGGCTGCATGTGCTTTTGCTGTAATTGCTGCATGTGGGCTTCCGTGTAAACTGGGGAGGGCAGTTCTTGTGATAGTGGGGATAGGGGCGATACTGGTGAGTGAGTTTGGAATGACTGCTGGCGTTGTCTGAGATGTCTGAACTCCGGGGGACCTTCAAGAGGCGGAACTGTAGGGCGAGGTGATCTTGCAGGTGAGAAGCCACCGTTTGATTTGGCCTCCTGCTGCTGCTCGTCGTGTTCCATAACCGCCGCATATAAGCGTTCCATTTCTTCTTGAGCTTTGAGACGGTCAGCCTTGACAACATTCTCGTCCACTGTCGATACGCTTCCCGCACGGGAGATGGGTGTTTGCCCTCTCGACCATGGCAAACTAAAGGACCGCTGTTTGCCCTTTTGTGGGCTGGGCCAATTATTGCTGTCTGCACCACTCATGGGACTGGGCCAGGTATTCTGGGGTGTCTGCGGGGTCTGCATCGAGCTAGTAGTATTGACCGTCGGCCGCAGCGGCTTAAGCATCTCCATCTCCAGCGTTTGGTTGGATTGTTGTGCGTTCCGTCGAAGCCGTCTGCCCACCGTCAGAAGACCGCCCAGGAACAGAGAGGCAATCGTCAGGTACACCCCAAGGATCACAACAATCTCTCGCCACAGCAGGCTTTTATCTCGAATGGCACCGGCGGAGAATGGCGGGCCTTGGTCAGGCGGCGGAGCAGGCTCGTTCCAAATCTCAATGTTCCAGTTCAGAGCGGGGGCAGCAGGTATCGGTCTGGCGACGAAGAGCAGGAGGAGAGCTGTGCTTGCGGAGGAGACGAGGCGTGAGAGAAGAGTGGAGGAAGAGCCGGACATGTCTGGGGTCTTTGTTCTACCATACTCCAGGCGGCATATAAGGAAACCGACAGCTCTGTGACACTGCCCCGGCGATTGGGGGTAATTATTTCCACATTCAGGAGCCTGGGGCGGGATCGCAAATGAAGCGGACGGGGATCGACCGCCCACCAGGAGCTGCACAGCCAGTCGTGGCTCTCGAATGGAGGGATTTGGGGGAGGACTCGAGTCGACGGGCAGCGAGGAGCGACGAGCAGCGGCGGGGGGGCCAATGGAGCGTCTTAAGGGCGCTCGTATTTGCTCGCACGGCGGCATGCAAGGCCCCGCGACGGCCAATCGACGGCCAGCAGAGCATGCTGGCCATCGCAAGCGTTGTCGCTGCTGAGGGGTTTGCAGCGTCCAGCGCGGTGATTTGCTGCGCTGTAAGCGCCCGGGGATGCAGCGCCGCAGCACCAGGGTCGAATCAGCATCGCGACCGCCCCGGCCTGAGCGAACGGCGAAGGCTTGGGGGCTGCAGGCCGGCCGGCCGTCTTCTTGTTTGCTGCAGAAAGCGGGCGCGCCATCACACGCTATCACGCCCCGTCACACGGCCGTGCATGGATCAGGGAGCGACAGGCTGCCCGCAACGAGGCGCTCACCGACTCGGCCGCTCTGCAACGCCGGAGCTTGATTTTTCTTTCTGTGTGTGTGCGGGTGCGCTCAGGTCGGAGCCCTCGCATCCGGACAAACAGCCAAGGTGGCCTCGTTTCTTGCCGCGCCGTTGCTGCAGCGGAGATCGCTAACTCTAACTAACTCTCATACAAAACAGCTTGCCAGCGCCAATTTATCGGTAGAACTGCGACTGCGAGAACGTCGAGGCCAGCCGTGCCTGGCCAGCCGTCAGGCCGGCGTCGACTGGAAGACAGACGCCCGTGATGGACGCTGCCTCGGGGCTGCTGAGGAAGGCCACCGCGCCAGCCACCGCTCCCGGCTCGATGACATGACCCTTCGGATACCACTGCATCGCTTCTTCGAACACCTTGGGATTTGCTGCCAGCCGCTCCTCCCACGCCTGCGTGCGCACTGTCCCAGGAGCGATTGCATTCGCCCGCATGCCGAACCGTCCGTATTCCACCGCAATCGATTTCGTGAAATGGATCAGCCCGGCTTTCGCAGCGCTGTAGGCGGGGTTGCCGTAGACAGACAGGCCGTTGACGGAGGCAATGTTAATAACTGTGCCGTGGGTGTTCTTCAATGACTGTTCGAAGGCCTTGAAGCAGAAGAAGGAGGCGTCGAGGTTCAGCGCCGTCTCACGCTTCCACACCTCCGGCGTCGTTTCTTGAAGCGAGCTTGCCCACGTCCCGCCGGCATTGTTGACCAAAAGGTTGACCGCACCCAGTGCCAGTGCCTCTTGTGCCATTCGGTGGACTGCAACATCGTCTGTAATATCGCAGATAATGGCCGTTGCCCTATGTGCTCCTAAAGCTTGGGCTGCCCGCTCGACGCTGGCCTTGTCAATGTCCACTAGCACTACATGGTCCCGGGTTTTTATAACCTCGGCAGCAATGGCACGGCCAATGTCGCCTCCGCCTCCAGTGACTACCGCTACTCTATTGGGTGCGTTGTTTGCATCCATCCTGCAGGGCTTCTGGCCTCGTAGTGAGATCGCTTGGGTGTGAAGGATGAGCTGGGGCTAACTATAAAACCAAATAGTTAATTCAAGTCAGTAGGAAACCTTTAAAGTTGCTTCTTTACTAGTAGTATCTCGTACCGCATATATTCTACCGGAGGGCCAATTCAGCGTTTGCTTCTAGAAGAAAGCTGGCAGAGTGTTTGCCACCGGTCAAGGAACCGTCAACCTTAGGCTCTTTGGTGTGATGACAAGAACACGACCTGAGTCCCACAAAAGCTTCTTTGCTCGACCAATACTCCCACTGTCAGCAGTAGGTAACGCAGGTAGGATGAAGATGGAAAACGAGAGCAATTGTGTGTAGTTAGAAGAGGGCCAGGCGTGGGCGGGCGGCCATCACACCGCATTTCGGCCCTTCGAATTCGCCTGGGAGCGGTCTGTAAGTTGGCGGGACACGAAAAGCAATTCCTGGCTACGGCGCAGGTGGGTGACATCCCCGCCACATGTGACCGGGCCTTGATATGAGACGGAGCTTGATGCCTACGCCGAGGACGCCACGAGATGAGCCTGGGATGGTCTCTGGCTCCGGCCTCCACCAACAAGACGGCTTGTCCACCCGCTTTCGAGAGCAGCTGGACGAGGTATATAGAAACATCCGTGAAATCGAAAACGCGTTAGATTTCCGCTTGAAATTCTCAAGCAACCAAACTAAGGTCTGGATTGTATACCACTTCGGCGTTTTGAGAGACAATGGCATCGAGGCTCGAGTGTTGCACGCAGACGTGGCCAACATGATCGCGACGGCAAACCCGGATGGGATGGGCGCAGTGGCATCCGTTTTCGTTGAAATTTCCGTTGCATTTCTAGACCTGAGTTAGCAACTTTGTTGTCTTCTCCAGGAAGAATCGAACTAGTTAACTACCGTTTGGGCGGTCAGGTCGACACCGTCCTCTTTATATAGCTGACATGTCTCAAACAGCAACCTCGATGGCGCCAGCCATGTCAGGAATGGTATGGGCGAGGATGGGAGGAGCCATGGCTCCCAGGAGGAGGTTCATGATGGACTTCATTGTCAGGGACGTCGGCTTTGTCTTGGAGTCGTACAATCGATGTCGAAGGCTGGTGAGACAAGCAATGAGAAACCCCGCGTTTGTGACAACACGGCCCGATCCGCTATATATGAAATGATAATCATCAATTTCAGCTTTGGGTTTTCTTCTCCTTCTTCTCAACCATCCTCCTCTCCTCTCACGACTCCACAATCCCTAACTACCCCCTGACTTCTCCCCCACCCTTCTTGACGATGGCGGGATTCGACAACGGCAGCGGCCCCTGGGTGCCCCTCAGCCGCGAACAGAAACGTAATCAATTCCATCACGATCCCGCAAACCCCCAGAAGACGTGGCGAAGACTCCACGATGATATGATTAGCATTGGTGACAGCTACTTTAACCATGGCTTCGGCAAGGCACGACTTCGGGAGAGTCTGCGCGACTTCTGGGATGAACTGATCCACGCAGCGAAAATCACTCCAGCGGACAGTCCCGAGCTTGACCGACTTGTGACGCTGATTCTAGAGGCTCGCGAGTTGGGACATTTTGCTCGACGCCCAGGGAGCATGACATCTAATATGGCTAACCTGGGCCGGATGGACAACGAGGAAAGGCTCTGGTGTGACCTCCCTTTCCTCACAAGGGAGTTTCAAGATGCCTGGGGAAACGAATCGGCAAGCTACTCAGCAACAGAGCGAGAAAGCCTTGCCGCGCTAACCGCCAAACTGGTTGCTGTGGGGGTGTGCTCGGACCAGTTGAGCGGTTGTGCCCTGTGGTTCTTAAAGGAGACTCTGGAGACAGAAAGACCACTGAGAGGCCCCAACTCTCAAGACCACCCCGAGCAAACTAATTCCGAGCCCTCTGTTGTCGACCTGCTTCCAGCCTGCGACGCATGGTTTCAACATGGACGATTCAAGCTTGCCCAGCGCTCACTGGTGAATTTCAATCCGGACGTGTCTATGTGGAGCAACGAAAACATCCAAATGTCGAGCCTGCCGGGTGGCCTTGCTCTCGAAGCAGGCGTTACTCAGCCTGGTTTTAGTGTTAAGCGGTGGTTGTTTTGGCGACAAAGGCTCAAGGACTTCTACGACTCAGGGGATGCACAGATTGCTGGGCTGGCAAGGGCCTGCTTCGAGGAGATTGTCATGGCTGGAATGAAGGTAGGTCTCGAGATCCCCGGCGAAAGGGAATATTTGAGAAACCTGTTCAAAGCTCTCCGCGAGGAACTTACGGCTCGGGGTCCCAAGGGATGCGTTTGGCCGGAAGAAATCGAAATTGATATGGGTTGGGCAGAGGAGAATAAATCAACTAACTAGTTAAGCTTTCCCTGGTGAATACCTTACTGACTGGAGAAGAGTGTTTTTCGAGTTTTCTTTTCTTGTTCTTTTTTTTTCATTGAGGAGCCCGAGTTACAAAACTTACGAAGTAGCTACATAGCCATTCCGTCTTTAAAGACCACCTAGTCGGGTTTTTGCTGCATAGTTAACCAATGGAGACAGCCTGAAATCCTTTGCAGTTTAATCATTAATCATACACTAACACAATTTATCATTTTGTTTGGCCATCTTTCTAGTATGCATTGGTGAGCCAGGAACCCAGGAACTCAGAATTCCATCTTATTTTCTTCTCGTTTTTATGTGCTATACCCGCATGTTCTCGAACTGGCAGTTTCTCGATACCCTCTGAGACTAAATGAATTATTTCCTCGACGGCAGCATAGTCTCCGTCTTTTATTGGCAACTACACTATAAAGTCCAGATTCTAACCATGTCTCTGGAATGACTAAAGGCCTGAATAACCACTACTGTCTCTAGGGGCCTTCGAAAGATGTTAGTTTTTCTTCGTGACGTTCAGGCCGCGACATTGCTCTGGGAGAAGAGAAACCTGATCCTCTTATTATGCGGAGTCGACATGTACAGATTACTTATGCTGGGCGCGGGGCTCTTTACGGGGAAGTGTGAGTCCCTAGAGTCCGTAAAGGAATCTGTTTCTCGAAGAGTTTTACATGATATTGTTCACCTTGACTGTCGTCAATCCGAATTCGCTTTTGCCACTACAGCAACTGGAAGTTCGAAATGCGAATTTTTCGAAAATAGCCTAGAGGAAGAGTCCAAAAGCATTTCAGGTCTACTTGACTATAGAAAGGATTGATTACATGTTGATTGTGTATTTCCTTCACCATTGCTTAACATTCGCGAGGCGTTGAGTTCTGGATGCGCTGCGCCCTCCTCTACCTTAGGCTAGTTTTCAATCTTGCTGTTTGTAAGATTCGCCTTTTGGGACACAACAACGCCAAAATGGCAAGGGACAAATGGGAATGTTTTAGCTAGCCAGACTCCCAAAACATTAGACACTATGACAGCCTTGACGACATCGCAATACGGTGGATGAGAAGGCTCCCACTTCCCGTTGATCTCAAACTTTTTGTCTCAGTAGAGCGATATAAATATAAGACTCTGAAAAAACTTACTTGAAGAAATGGGTACTGAAAACCCAGCCTTGTTGTCCGACACACTAGAAACTTTAACATTGTTGGTGGCTGAGAAAAGGTAAGCGAGTATTGTCCAAAGTCGCCATCGGAGTTTACGTGAATCGCTTGTATTCCTCTTCGCGATGGATCAACAATAAACCCGATTCTAGTTGCGTCCGTAAGCGGAATGTATTTTGCATGAGTGAAGAGCATAAAGGGGTCCTGGTCACTGAGTAGGGACTTAACCAAAAAACCGGAATCTACCCAGCTATCCCATGGAGGAAAAGGCTTATGATAAAAGAACGGCTCAGGCCCTGTACGGTTGGTTGGGATTATAGCACGGCATTTCAAAAACTGTTAGATGTCAGTAGAGGGACCAAAAAACGAGAGCGAATGAGACCATACATCGCAGATGATTGTTAATTCTCGGAGATCTGCATATCTAACTATCGCGATTTCATAAGAAAAGGGCGCACAGTCATTATTTAATACCCAATCTGGCAGAAACTTGTGTTGTCGAAATGCAAGATCAATCACGCCTAAACCATCACTCTTAACTGCAAGATAACTGCTCCCATCAAGTTGATAATCTGTGCTGTGCTCCTGAGGAACATGATCTATTGGGGGGGACAAACTGGAGACGTATATCCTATCTCCCACATTGACCAAATGGATGCGGACTATATCACTTCGCAATCGGACTGTCTTCGCTGTAAATCTTGTGGGGGGGATTTTAAACTGCGGGAGCATTTGCCTAGAAAGCTGAGATGCTGCCCTCATGACGAAAAGTAAACGTCCAATGTCATGTTCTAAGACTATATTCCAGATTCCTCCCGGGAGTCTAGGTTGTACGGTTCGGTAAGGATGCTGAAAAAACAGACAGCAAAGCCAAAACCAAAAATTCGCAATCATCGTCCCCACGAAATAGTGCCATTGCTGCTTTACGTCTCGTGTGCTGGATGGATCGTGGAGCGGCACTGGGGCAGCGAACGCACCGCTTTTACTCGGCGGCGTCAGACTTTTTGGGAGAAGAGTAGGCTCAACCAAATATATCAGTTGATACAACTTCGAACGTGGAAGATCTTGGACGAACTCGAGGCACCTCCTATGCAGCAGCCAGCCTCTTTTGGTATAGTCGAATGACGGGTAAGACCAGGGAGCTAAAGTAATATCGCCGACGCTTACGAAATTCCTTTCTGGGTGTCGTTGGGGGGTAAGGCTGGTATAGTCGCCACTTGCGGTGTTTGGTGGTAGAACGCAGTAGGAATCCCCCCTGGATATATCGACATCCTGGAGGCACAGCGGACATGGTTAGTAATACGAGAAGTTCACAGTCATAGCTAGAACCGGCTTGGCAGGCTTAGGTCGATGATAGAATCGAAGGGGAAGGGAGAGTGATTTGACCTTAGCAATTGTGTGATGGTTGCGCGAACTACTTACTATAAGGGCTGCAGCACTACTCCGTAGTAGTTACATAAAGCAACTATGCATGGTTACTCAACGATCCTGATTCCTCACAGAAGTCGCAGCTAACTAGCCGGTCGATGTGCGTAGTTACATGGCGTTTTGTAGCGCCGCGAGCGAGCCGGAGCAACAGTCATAGGATGACGGAAATCGCCATTCGAGTGATGCTGCCTTCCCAGCCACCGATGTGTAACTAAGTAGCATGATGGCGGCTCTCCTCCAAACTAGACTTCGGCTTCATTAGGGTGCAAGCTCACAGTACGTCTCATTATGGGCAACAAAGTGTCCACGGTCAACGGCCTGCGATCCCCGAACATTCTCCAGCCTGGAAACGCTGTCAATGAGGTCTGGGTGGGCAATCTAGAAATCATCTCTCGCCTTCCTTTTGGCGACTCAAACCTGGCCCAAGCAGGCTGGCCTAAGGGAGACTACCCGAAAATCCCCTGGCACCCGTTCATTATCCCACTCCGCGCAAGAGCCGACAAGATAGCACGATCCATATCCGTTACGGCATTAGAGCGTCGGGGTATAAGCGAAATGATGGCAAAAGTAGACTGGTTGCTGATGTTTTGGACCCTTGAACGCATTGTCGCAATTCCCTTTTTTCTTTCTACCATCGCGTTCCATCTTACGCCGGACCGCTTTGATGCGTCTGGATTCATGGGTCCATGTGTTTACGGCTGTGAAGACGGGGAACTAGGCCACACACCGCATCTTAAATACCCTATCATTATACGTGCAAAAATGGCGTGCCTTTTCTATGCCACTGGTCTTTTCGTCCTGTTTCTCCAAAATATCATCAGTGCCACCACTTCGCACTTCAACATGCCGACTATCTCCCGATTCGAGCTAGTGTTCTATTCTTGCTTGGGCATCTTAGCTAGTTATTCTTGTTTGCGGCTTATGTTGGCTGCGTTTCAAGCCACCAATCAACTCGTGGGAGAAACAGAAATGAGGTTTAAAGAAAGCCGTGATATCACGTTCACGGAATAATATATAGGTTCGCCGTCGTATTACCAAAAAAGAATACGTGATGCTGTGATGGATTCGGTTTGGAGATGGGCTAAACCAAAATGTATTATTACATCTTATTGCGCTGTCGGCGCCTGACGATTCCAAAGGTCACGCCAAAATTGTTTCATCCCATATCCCTTAGCTGTATCCTCGTCATAAACTCGCACAGCTTTGCCAAGACCCAGAACTTGCTGGAGGGGGTTCGTAGCCTCTGTCATCGACACTCGTCCCGGTTCATGAGATCTTTGTGTAGCCCTTCTATGGACTTCATCCGCTAAGGAGGGTGCTACATCAGCGTAGCAAGTATCCAACTCTCGTTGAAGATTGACGTATGGCCTTTGGGCAATTTGCGGGGCTTGAAGGTTGTATGAGCGAACGAGATCGTTGAGTTTCTTTATTTTTAGTTCATGGTACTCCTTTTCGACAGAAAGATATTGCGGATCACGTAGGCAAGGAAGATTTGGCAGAGGTTCTGGTTCGTTTTCAGAGTTACTCTCGGTAGAATTCGGCGTAGCCTCGATCCTCAAAGTACGTGATAATCTCCCCTCATTGTCTATCTGTGTTCTGGGTTCGGCACCTGTAGCATCCTTGTACTCCGTCGGTACTGAACAACGGGCAGCTTTGTTGTGTCTAGACTCTGCAGCAGCGTATGCCTGAGCCCGTCGGATCTGTAACTGTAGTGAGCCTCCCTGGCTTGATATCAGACGTGCTGCATGTCTTTTCCAATCACTTCTCAATTGTGTACGAAATCGGTGAAGTTCAAGCTTTAATTCTTGCTGTTTCTGGATCCATTCGGGCGCCAATTCTTGCTTTTGTAAAATGCGGTTCATAAAGTATTCAGTCGTGTCAAGATACGGGTTAGCAGCGGCATGGTCACGTTCAACATTTTTACCTTTTCCACGGGGAAGATTCCGAAATTGACCTTGTGCTATGGCATCTTCTATCCGTTCATTGGCCAAAGAGCTCAGCCCTTGAAGTGAGACGGGAAGAGATCTAGCACCAGGAGTGAATCGATCATGAAGTTCTCGACGGTATGCTTCCCGTTCTTCTTTGGAAATTTGAGAATCTTGGGTGAGTTCATAAGCCTCTTTGCGTTCCCGAGCCTGAGCAAGCCGTTGCCCAGATGTCCGAGCACCACGGATTCTTGGCGGTGCGTTTACGGAGACCGGTGATGGAATTTTGAATGGTGTTCGTAGAGGCTTACTAGAATCGTCAAGCATGCGAAGGGCTGTATCATGAATGTTCTCTGTTCCAGTCCAAGGAGCAGCGGCGGCCATGTTCTGGGTTCCTCGTCCAGCACTTCGCTTTAGGAAAGAATATGTCAACATTCAAGGGTAGAGAGGCTACAAGGAAGGAAAATATACCGGCATATTCACAACAGACCAGGCCTGCGCATGTTCATTTTTAAATGAGGCAGCAGCTATTCTCTCTTCTAGCTGTCTCTTTAACTCGTCAGAGAACCCGGCTTCTTGCATGTTTTTCATTGCAGATTTTCCTCCCAGCATAGCTTCTTCAGACATATCCCTCATTCTCCTCGACATTGCGCCCTCATCTTCCGGTGGGGCACCATTTTGCCGACTGTCTTTAATTGTACTAGCCTCGCTCTCTTGATACTGTGGGGATTTCGTTGATAATGTTCTGACGCTATAGTAGAGCGAGGGAATTGGCCTAACACAGGCATTCTGAATTAATACTTCAAGGTGGCGCTGGCACCTCATTTTAATCGTCTTCGAGAGCAGTCTTATCGTCGAATGTGCTGAACATGAACACACGATCGAATGAATTTATTCCCGCGTCTTCGGCCTCCGTCATCAGTCCGCTTAGTTAACTTATGTCAGCAAACGTCGAAGATCAGAGTTTGTGAGTCTTGGCGTACCGAGAGAAGATAACTAATTCAACGCCGAGCAAGGACAAAACAACTGGACTACACCTGGGATTGTCGACATAGCTGAGGTGGCCCTGGGCTACTGCTCTTTGAAGATTTCTTTTTTAGCGTACGATATTGATATACACATTACAATTCTGCGGAACGATACCCACGACCATGCCTCCGAAGCTGCCGTCCACGCGCATGAAGCCTATGCGGCTGCAGACAATCAAATTCCTGAGAGTTAAGCGTACGAATAAAGCTGAACCGACAAAGTGCCAGACCGCTATGAGTGCTGTGTTAAGTAAGTCAAGCCTGGTTGAACGGCGAAAGAATAAAGACGCTGACCGTAGCCTTTATGGTAGATTGCTGGGCATCGGCGGGCCATTCCATCCAGGGCTGTCTTGCTGTTGAAACGGAGCTTAAAAATTGCCTCGACAGACGTGTACGTGATCCAGGCATCATCCTGCCTCCTGCGATCTTGCCTCAGTTGAAACTAACCGGCTCAACTTTATACTATAGGAGCGTAAAAATAACGAAAAAAGCCAGATCAATTATCATCTCATGCGCTTGTTTCCTCAGATCTGCGGTCCAAGGAAGGGGCGTTCCTAGATGTTTCTCTGTCCTATGATAGAATAGAGCTTCATTGGGGGCGTACATACGTCGCTATTATGAAAACAAAAGCACCATTGTGCGCTAGGCAGAGCTTACTGAATATCAAAATGTACGAATTCTACGCAGAAAATGCACAGTTTAGCATACACTGGAGTTTGATGGCGAGGAATCGTTCGGTCTTCTGTCTAGAAGAAACGAAGACCTCTTTATATTTATCGCTGACAAGAATACTTGTGTACATTATTTTAACAGATACCTTGGCCATTTTACAAATGCAAATATGTAATATTATTTTCTAGGTAGTGTTTATCTTATAAATAGTTGTTGCAAGTTTGGAAAGAGTTGGTGTTGAGCAGGCACTGCTGATCAGAAAGCTCATTTTAGAAAAAGAGAAGTCCCTGCTCTGGAAATGGCACTAGCAGAGAACAGCCCTTAAACTGTTACCCTAGGGGGCTTAAGCACGCTGGAGTTTTAAGATCAACTTATTGCTCTTTGGGTGAACTGTATATGCGTCGATCGCTTCGATTCCCTCATCGTCAACGATAGTAGTAGTATAATTAGAATATATAGTTGCAATGACATATTTCATTTCTAAAATAGTATCAGGATTCGTCGGCATTTATCAAGTGATATTTTAAGGGGCATACCTTGTAACGCCAAATTACTTCCAACACACATTCTCCCACCACTCCCAAAAGCCCAAAACCACCGTTTCATATTGTCCAATTCAGGCGAGCCGTCTGGCTTCAACCAACGTTTTGGGAGCCAGGACTCCGGCTCGGGAAAAACATCGGGGTTGAGATGCAGCGAATATGCTTGAGCATTAACCCTCGTGTTCGGAGGGATATTGTCATATCCGCCGAGGCTAGAAGTTGGAGAAGGAGTTATGCGGGGCTGAATTCCTGGAATAGGAGCGTGCAGCCTAAGAGTTTCCATGAGAATAGCATCCAATAGTGGTAAGGCATCAACACTTTTCGGTGAGGGAAGATCCGGGATGGATTGGTCGTTCAGTGGTGGTTGAATAATTGGTGAAAGCTGCCTGAGTTCTTCGCGCAGCTCATGCTGCAAATCAGGGTATTTTGATAATTGCCAATAGAGGTAGGTCAAAGCAACCGCACTGGTCTCGTGGCCGGCAGTGAGTTGGTCGTATAGCTCACAGGCAACATCAATTCGGAGCATTTTCGAGGTTTCTTCGTCCAGGGGTTCCTTGCAGTTTCCTGGAAGTTGTTTTAGCATCGAAAGTTTGAGTTGCTTGTAGACAATAGGTTCGAGCTCGATATCTGTCGACGACATATACTTATCAGCATTGTCGCATAACTCAAGGCCCCAACTCTCCATGTAGTCATTGGCGCCCCGACACCACCTTGGGATAACAGGGATGTTGAGGTAATTAGCCCAAGCAATGAAATTCGGGACCTCTTGGTAATAAAACTCGAATGGCTTGCGGCACTGAAAAGCGTGAATCCAATGCTTCCGTGTTGCAACATCCTCTAGAAAATTCGTGCTTGCAGGCAATCCAAAAATATACGCCGTCACAAAATCCATCGTGATGGCGTTATTTAGTTCGTAGACGTCAAAACTGTCTCCTGCATCCGCATGCCTCTCGAGAATAGGGAACAATCGACTGAACAATAGCTTTCGAGATATCCGAGCAAGATGTGGAGAGCTTTGTAAGTACGATTTGGAATATATATTTGACATCATTCTTTTGCGCTGTGAATGAGGCTTGCTTCCTACCATCGAAAACATGCTAAGGGTGCTACGGGCTTATTAGATGCGGCTTTGCCTTCCCATACCTAGAAACGTACCCATAGAAGCCAAAAACCCTTGGATACCAATCATGTTTTTCAAAGCCGCCTGCATACACTGTGCGGATGCCACCATCAACGCAGTTGATAGAGAGCTCATTGGGAGCAAGTCGAACAATAGGGCCATATTTTTGATGAGCCCTGTGTATCGTTCTATTCCCTCTCATCCGAAAGCGATTCCATAGGATCCATAGAGGAGATATAGACGATGTAAAGTGGGCATTAGGAATCTTAGAGAGAGGAGATAAGAAAGCAGGGTATATAATGAACTTATAGATGACGCAAACTATTGCGCACAAGGCCAGAATCGCCAGCGAAAGGGGTGATATGAGTGCCATAGGGATAGGGGTTGAATTCTAGGTCAGTCACGCTTGGAGAGAGGGATTTCCATCTGCATCGTGGAGGGCGCATTCTCTAGTAGTTAAAAGACTTTGTGGGGTAAGACCGATATAACAGGCACCAAAGCGTCTCGTCCACATATCAACTTGGCCGAACTTCGGCATCTTCTCCACTGGGCCCCAGTGGTTTTAATAAGTATGCGCCAACAGTGCTTCGAGGTCTTGGTTCGGCGATAAGCGAATGATAGCGTGTTTTTTAGTCACCGCCGTCGGACTTAGCTTTTCCCAAACTGGGCGTTGTACATCCGGCGGCGATCAATTTTTAACTCCGAGCCGGCTCTGACGACGGGCCCAACTCGTACTCCGCACGGAGTAATCTTCCACAATAACTACTCCGAGGGGTCTATGAACCGCGATAGGGAACCAAATGCTGTCGGACTTACCGCCAGAAATCATCTACCAAGTCGCTAGACATATTCCAAATCTCAAGACCTTGGCCAACCTAGCAAGAACATGCCGCCGGCTGCACGATGTAATATCTGCAGACAATTACCGCATCCTACAGGCCTTTGTGCAAAGCCGGTTTCCTTCAATTAACACCCCGCCCTTTTGGAAGGATGCAGCCCGTGCTCTGACGTCGCGGACTCGCGCCTTTGACCGAAATGCCATAATTGCTCGTTTTATTTTGCCCCCAGAAAATGCTACCCGCATTGGACATCCCAGGACTATTAGGACGGATCGCCCTACCCTAGGATATCGCCCCGTACTCGATAGCTACGAAGTATGGTATGGCAATACATGGTGCTCTAGGAAAGAGGTCCTCGTGTGGGGTGCAGGAGCAGACTTGATGATACGAGTGAAAGATTTTGGTCGGAAGCATCTCCAAAGTCACCCCCCATGCGAACCCCAATCATTGCTGTATAGACACAAAGTTAGCGGAACTGCCCAGGATAATGTTATCTGGGCGAAATTCAACGATCTGCATGGTGTTGATAGCTGGGATGATATTTCTGGCCTTCATGTGTTACGACCCTCTTGTACAGAATGGTGCGACGAGGAGGATATCATATTTGGCCGCCGAAATGGTCAACTTCTTCAAATGCTTGTCTCTCCCAAATACGGCACGAGTAAAATTAAGAAGCGATATCTAGCCCGTGGGAAACACCTCGATGGCAGTGACCTAAGCCCTGCTTCAAAAGTACTCTCCGCCACCATGGATAGAAAAACCATTTCATTTTTCAATGTTGATACCGAGGACAAGGACGTCTCTCCCTTTGCAACCCTGGGTCCTGTAACAAATGAGACCGGGAGGTATAAATGCTCAAAAATTTTATGTGAACATAAAGTCGCTATTAGCTTTGACGCTCTCCGAGGCCAAGTTTCAATATTTGAATTTTCTCCTGATGGAATTAGGATGCATCGGTGTTTGGGCATTATCGATCGCGATATGCCACTTAAACTGAAAGCAACTACTATTGAGCCGTTGACAGCAACGCATATAACCGGTGGGAGCCCTGGGGACCTTTTTTTAACCGGTCGAGAAGATAGTGAAACAAGGCAAGGTCGTTAATATGACTGGTTTCGAATTTGCTTTCTAACAGGCCTTCTAGGTTGCACGACATTCGGGCTCGGAGACATGTGGTGACGGTTTTTGAAGATACAGTAGATGACAGCCCAACGTATAGTATCAAATCAATTGGCCATGAACGATTTGTTGTTGGTGGCGCTATGAATGCCCTTTTAAAAATTTTTGATATGCGTATGGGGCGTTATAGCTATACGGATGCCTACTTAGGAGAAGGAATGTTACCGACGAAGGAGGCATATGGCAGCCCCGCAATCAAGTCCAACGCCGAACAACTTTCGAAGAAGGATATATCCATATTTCTCTCAAATCGAATCGAAAACATTCCAAATAGAATGGGAACGTTTTTGCGCGCACGCCACCGTTATCGGGGGCCCATATACGCGATCTCTCACCCCTCCCCATCATCATCTACCATTTTTGCTGGTCTAGAAGATAACGTCATAGGTCTAGATGTTGTGTCTACAGATGATTTGGGAGGAAAGCACAAAGAGTGGTACCATCGTAACCTGGATTTGGCACTAGATCCGCTCGGTGGTGTCGACTGTCTACCTATGGATTTATCTTGCTATGAGCGCCCATGGCCGCGTGACCGACAGAAAAATGTAAAACTCATGCTGCAATCACCATTTTATATGGCTCTAGAAAAGGAATACCGCGGGATCAAAAGTACACCCCATGTTAAAAATCCCTGCTGGGATCAGAGATGGTATCATCCGTGGATCTCAGGGTCCCGTGGAGCTGAATAAGCTTATGATAAAGCCCTGAAAGGACGACTAAAGCTGAATAGTAATTCTGCAAGTGTAAGTTATAATTATAGAAATGCACAGGGTACCATTTTGAAGCAACTAAACACTATAGAGTTAGAGGAATAGAAAGGCAAAATTTTTCGATCTTTGTGATAGAGGATGTAGTCTAATTGTCAAGGCAAGCCAGAAACTCCTCGCTAAGCGGTCTTGCACGAAACAATAAAAATAAAATCACCAGGAAACGTCCAACCACCTAACCAGCTTTTTGAAAAGTTCATAAATTCCCCAGTGAGTAACAAATACCAAGCTTCCCGAATTAAAAAGACTTGGAATACCTATTGTTGCTAAATGCCACACGCTGTATGGTTTGAAAATCGACTTCGCTTGCTTTTCTATTTAATCCTCGAACTTGAAACCCTTGCCAGGCCCAATATCAATAGGTCCTCCGCGGTAGGATCCTCGTTTTTTCTTATTCTTTTCCTTGGTAAAACCCTTTCCACGCGTGACCGACAAATCCTGATGAGCACGATCCGCATAGGCATATGAGACATACGAGTTCGACGGATGATTATGGGGTTGTTCACTGGCAATTGCGAGGGGAGTAGATTTCGCACCCCGGTGAATACGGTGAGGGGTGGTCGGGTCTGCAGGCGTTGAAACAGGTGTAGAATCGGTAGCAGCGACAACACCATTGTTCATCTCTTTACTCAAATTTTCGTTTGAGGCGTTGGAGAAGTCAGCAGAAGTGCCACGCAAAGTTGTGCTAGATTCTCCAGATAGCCTCCGACTTCTGGCGCCGGCCGTATTCTCTTTACTTTTGACAGACGAGTCGGAATCGTCTGAAGATGCAGATGAAGAGTCGCTGTCGTCGTTGTCGTCGCTAGAATTCGGGGGGCGAGAGTCTGCGGCGATATTCTCTATCTCGTCGTTCTTCTCTATGGCGCCAGCTTTAGGCGGTATTTTTGAATCAGATTTGGAAGAGCCAGTGTCAGAATCAGAGGCTGATGACGAATCGACGGACGAATCAACTGGTGAATCAGGCTTAGGTGACTGCTCTCGTCTGCGGCGCTTTGTCGATGGGACTTCTGAGCCGGAATCAGAGCTAGAAGATTCAGACGAGGACTCATGTTTTCGTTTTAGCGACTTCGATCTCTCTTTAATATTATCTTTTTCGTCTTCGGAACTACTCTCGCTCGAGGAGGAGGATCCGGAGGACGAGCTGGAGGAGCTGGAGGAGCTGGAGGAACTGGAGGAGCTGCAAGAAGAGCTACTGGACGAGGAACTAGACGAGCTAGTGCTACTCGAAATGGTAGAAAGGCTGGACGATTTTCTCGTGGTGCTAGAAGTATCAGAATCACTGGTTTCGGTCGTGGACTCAGTATCAGCATCGCTGTCATCGGTTGTCAAGGGCAATGCTAATTTTCTTATGTGGGCATTCCTGGCTTCATATTTTTTCCAGCCCGTGAACACATCAACCATGGAGGGGCATTTTTTGGCTATCTTCGACCCTTCCTTTTTTTTGACCTTGTCAACTACATCGACTGTGCTAAGTTCAGCGTCAAATGCTGCTTTGGTTTTAGAAAAGCCGTTGGTAGACAAGAAGTCTCCAATAATTGCCAGTAGTGTGGGAGATATAGAGGGGGTTTGGTCTTTGCGAGCGTGTTTCGCCTGTTCAATAAATTTTCACTTGTCAGTCAATATCAAGGTACCGCGGGTCAGGTCAACATACATCTTTCTTCCTAGATTTTCCCACCATTTTCGAGATTAGTGAATCCTTGGCTTTCTTTGGACTCATGGCAGGTCAAAAATATCAAAAAAGAGTCCGAAAAGAGAATTCTGGAAGTGCGCAGAGTTGATATCTTTTTTCACAAAAAATATCGAAAAAACAGAATTTAGAGACCTGAGCTAACCCAATTGGGGAAGGCGACCGCACGCGCTTCCCGTGAGTTCCTGGCCAATCATAGACCGAAAGATTGGTTCTTGCCAAGCTTTATGCTACCACTACTATTGGTTAGGAGCGTGCCCCACCAAGCGCCGCTTGCCATACGCCGCTCGCCAACGACCAGTCTGCTGAGTCAGCGACCGCCCGTTCCTCTGCGTAACAGGTCCGCAAACAAGCGGCTAGACGAGAACAACCTGGCTGCAGCTGGTAAGACAGCAACCAACAGCCAGTGCTATGAGCTCTTTTTGGCCATGCCATTATCTAACACAGTGGTCTAGAGTATGGACTACATATTCTGTATCTCTTTCAGTACTACCTCTCAATCCAACAACCTGGCTCCTATCTACATACAATGAGTAACCGCGATCGCCTTCACGGGCTCCCCGCGGGCTTGTCGCCGCAAAAAGGTCGTCGACCTGGAGGGGAAATTCGCAATGGTGGAAACCTAGCGCCTGGAACATCGGCGATGTCGCGAGCAGAGAAATTCGAAGATGAAAAACAACGCATCATCCAGAGCTGTTTCTCAAAGAAAGAGCCGGATGGGTCAGGTATACTGTGTTCTAAGAATACGCTTTCATGCACCAGAAGTCTTGCTAACACTATCTGCACCTACTAGTTATCGAATCATATATTACTCATATCCGTGTGATGGAAGATGGAAGCTATCCTTCGAGTCCTCCTCCCCCGGATTCTTCGCCTGATACCAAGAAACCAAGGATAATAATTATCGCTGTTCGAAAATCAGGGAGGGTTCGAATGCACAAAGCACGAGAAAATGATAACCATTCCTTTTCAATCGGGAAGACGTGGATGCTTGATGACCTCGCTCGTATACAAACCTATGAGAACTCCGTGCCATCAAATCCTGTCGAACAGCAACAAAAACAATGGGCGTCTAATGTCGGATTTATTGTTACTATTACAAAGCCTTACTACTGGCAGTCAGATACACCTAAAGAGCGGGACTTTTTTATTGGAAGTTTGGTCAAGATATATAAGAAATACACTGGTGGGAAGTTGCCAGCATTGGTCGGCTTTGATTCTCGAGATAGAGAAATACTTACTGGCGGTGCATCCAGTGGTTCTCAATCCGTTAAAATCCCAAAACAACCAGAAATGAACGCCGCGAGGCAGGATCAGCGACTCCCTGGATCTCGTTCTCCATCAGCCCTCGCAAATCCCACACAGTCACCACTTTCAAATCGAGCTCCAAGTCGCGATGGGCCTATGGAACCCCGAAGACAACCTTCAAGGGAACCATTCATGCGAAATCAGCCTAGCCAAGAACAAATGCAGAGAATGCGAGTCCCTTTCGCTACACCTCAAGTTCTACAAACATCACCATCAAAAGAAGCCCTCTCATCCAAGACAATCGAATCACCTTTCTCAGAATACGCACCTACTACCTCATTTACAAATGAATCAGCTTCAAGAAAACACCTGGCACCTATATCCACGGACGGTACTACCAAAGTGCAGTCACCTGGTGAGGGTTTTGGCCTTCCTCGCTCTATCTCTTCTGAAGACCAAGGAAGTCTGCGTGACAGAAACAGACGAAATCTAGACCCTGAAAGTGCCTCTCCTTTAGAGCCCTTAAAGCAGAGAGTGTTCCCTCAAGCTGGACGGCGGGACGGCTCGCCAGGCTTACTACGCCCCTCAACTGCTGGTTCAAAAGCAAGTTCCGGATCCAGAAGTCCACGTACAGAGATGGACGAGATGACTGCTGCACCAATTGCAAACTCTGCGCCTTCTCGAGAACTACCTCCCTCTAGAGGAAGCAACGTGTCTAACGAATCTAACATTATCCCCACCCTTCCTCCCGTGTCAACAACCGCGTTTGAGGTTGGATTCGAATCCTCCATGCCCAATGCCGATACAGATACCTCTCGTCGACAACCACCCGCTGAGCCAGCTCCTCTGCAAGTTGAAATTAAAAAGGACCCGTCCCCACCACCAGAGGAGGAGACACACAGACCAGGGCTTGGACCAATGGTAAAGAAAAAGGCTAGCAAGGACGTTGCCAACACTTTTCGAAAGGCTGCTACAGCCTATAGTGCCTTTAAACCCAGAGCTGGAGGCGCTGCGGAGCGTTTGATGGCGGCAAAAGAGAAGTCGGGCAACGAACCTGATGGCATTACAAGCGTTGTGCCTGCACCATTTTCAAGGATGCAAAGCAGTGAAGTTGTAAAGGATACCCCGTCGAAGGAGCCTGCAGAAACTCAGGGGCGTTTCAAATCACAGCCTAAGGCGACCCCTCCTAAGACGAAACGCGCTGAACGTGCCACTCGTAAAAAGCCCCCCGCATCGCCCGTACCTCGCCCCGAGCCTAGGGAAGACAATAGCGCCATATACTGCAATTCCCTTGGCATTGATCACAATGTCCTCCAGGGCCGTGGGGCGAAGTTTGATCAGATACTAACAGACCTCGGGTGGGACGGAAAACTTAAAGATGACAAGCGGGCCGAGGACTTTGAGGCGGATATTCGCAGAGAAATTGGCAGGGTGCAAGCCAGTAGTTGGCTTGGTCACCTTGAGTTCCGTGAAGGCCAGGCTAATGAATTGGGACAATTACTCGATCAAACGATTCAAGAATGTGAGGAGCTCGATGCGCTTCTTACATTGTATTCCCATGAGCTTAGTGTAAGTGGCTTATTTTCAAAATGCTTATATTGTTGACTAACAGGAACCAGACTCTCGCAGACGACGTCACGTTTATCGAATCCCAAGCCGATGGCCTTCAGGTCCGCGTTTCGAATCAAAAGCTGCTACAAATGGAATTGCAGAATGTACTAGCCCCAGCACGATTTTAGTAGAATCTCTTGTCTACAGATATAACCAGCTCTCATTCGTTACCATATTTATACCATATTGGTACTATATTGGCTGAAATTTTCTAATTCCTATGTTTTTTCAAGACGACTTGCATTTCAAACTTTGTATATGGAGCTCTTGGGAGTTGGTGGATTGGCGTAAGCGCTGCCTGTTGATTTTATGTCATACATCATTATTTTCATGCATGTTGTTATTTTCTTCTTTATGATAATATTTCAAACCATGTGTTGTACAGGATTGTATTTTTACGTTACTTGCCTTCTACCCGCGCCACGAACCCTTTCTAAGTGATCATAATAGGTTAAAGCTCGAGTGCCTACTTATGGAGTACGTACTCTGCTCTTATATCCTTACTCGACTGTAATCGATCCTAGTGGGGAAGGGCTAGAAGATCGCGCTGGACGTATATGACATGAGAATTGATCAGCACTGTCGTATGTTCCTTTTCCAGCAGGGGCGAATAACCACTGGAGTATCTAGGTAGATTATTCAGGGCGGGAAACTCTTGTTTAAACAATACTAGCCGGATAATTTCACTGCTTTGGTCTGGATACAGTCGAAAACTAACAATTTTCTCGTATAAAAGGGCTCCAAGGGCAAAATTTTCATTCTTTATTGTGCATTCAATAATTTGTCTCGTCTTTCGATGCACCAGGCGCTGGTGATTTGTTGAATATGCTACTTGTGGCATGAAACCGTTTATCTTGAGGCTCCAAAATGAACCAACGCAAGCCTGCCATCGTCTTGGATAAGAAAATTGACAGCCAATGTCGGGGTGAATGGCATTTTTGGAGTGAAAGTATATAGTTATGCCTTCCGCTGCCTTTAAAGGCCAGCTAGACTCACGAGAACAATGCGGGTGGATTGGTAGAGGCATCACTTATCTACTCAACTCTTTCTGGTGATCCAAAAAGGTCGATAATGTCGGTTAGCTTTCCTCCCGGTAACTAAGGAAAATACTAGGTCGCTCGACACTCCTTTTGATTGCTCAGAGCTGGAATGGCACTTCACACGGTTAATAGCGCAAAAAATACATATAAGCTTTTCTAATGGCAGAAGATTTGTGAGCACGGGATACGGCACTGATTTCTTATCGACTAGTTAGCTCAAAGGACGTGATACTAATAGCTTGTCGGTGGACAAGCAACTGTTAATGCCGTATCAGATGGCTCTTTCAAGGGACCAAATAATCCGGGCCAGGAGACCTGATATAAAAAGTGAGCATATGGAGTGTAGCGGAGAGTACTTCGTACTCCATATGGTGAACAGCTGCTTTTTAGCAACCTGGTTATAAAACTGCAATCTATAGAGTAGAAGTCATCTTTGTATTAACCGTGGCCTTGCCAAGCCTCCTAGTCTGTTCATGAGATTCGCCCGCCAATAGCAGGTGTTGCGATCGTTGCTTCGCGTGTTTGCCACATGAGTTTCTACTCAATTCTTTCAAGATTTCACCAACTATCTTGAATATCCATGCCAAAGAGTTTCGATTGTTTGACGAAGGCAGACACCATTTACTGTGATGAGGCGGGATTCGATGCTTTCAAGATCCTCATTGATCCCAGGAATCTGGAGTTTGTGGAATGCCTCAAAACCTCGGAGGCATCATCGATATTTCATGTCAACTACTCCTACAAACCGCGGGTCCTGAAAGTCGTATGGTGTTCTCTACATGACAATATTATCTTACTTTCTAACCATTATTCGGCCACAGTTCCACAATAATGGGGATCCGGGATACGCGTCCGACTGTATTCGTGACTTAAACCGTGCTCGCTGCGAGATAAGAGCTTACTGCCGTTTAAAACAGTTTGGAATATGCAATACCGGCTATGTACCAGATTTCTATGGTTATATGCCAACTATTGATCCTGCAAGATATGCTCCTCACCTCAACGAGTTCCTGCACGATATCAATACCCCATCTGCAATTTTAATCGAGTATCTGCCAAAACCTCAGCCATTGAACTGTGTCACTTACACACCAGAGCGTATGCATAATGCTGTGTTGGGCATCCAGCAAATTCATTCGGCTTTGGTTGAGCACAATGATCCTTATCCAAAGAACATCCTGATCATTCCGGGTGACCCTGAGAGAGTTATGTGGGTTGATTTTGATGTTGCCATTGTTTACCCTGTTGGAAAGAGGCAACGCCCATGGCTCGATCTCGAAACAGAGGTGGTTGAAAGTTTTGGTTCATTGCTTGTTTGTCACCTCTCTACCCTAGCTGTTGTATTAAGGCTGACAATGCCCGCAGGAAGAAGACCAGAGGAAGGGTCTCCCACCAAATACAAGGTTCTACTAGAAATAAGTACTTCTCAAGCTATATTACTTTTCACAAAAGCTGCCAGTCGTCATTTGCTGCACTCAACATCCCAAGGTACCAGAGGCCGAGAAGAACAGTTAAATGCCCGGGTCCCCTTGCTTCCCACGGTGTAGCCTATGCAGCCAACAAGTTCCCATTTGCATCTAACCTCTTAACCGGGATTAATTCGGTGCCGGACAGAATCTATCCGTACCGTGCTCCGTGCTGTTTCAAATAGAAATTGACTTGAGAAAGGACCTGCATATATTTCCTGCATTCTGCTGTTGCTTGTGATGCTCTATATTTACTTTCCTACTTCCATGATACTTTTAGATTGCCGGGACAGCGGTTCGGCGAGGAATTTACGACATAAAATGCAGTGTCTGGCCGGTAGTTGTCGATAATAGTCGCTGCGTCGCCTATATCGACCGTGACCGGCGTAAGATGGAGGCCCGCAAGCTGAAGTGCGAGGTTCTGAAAACCAGTTCTCAGCGCACGGCGCAACCGACTCTGGATGTACGTATTGAAGGCTCGCTTGCTATCTAGTAGGAGGCTTGGCAAAGTCACGGGTATTTTGTGTTTTGGTCCCCTTGGAGGTTTATAGGCGTATAACTAGTGATATTGGTGAGCAACACGGGTTGTGTGTTTGGTTCGCTAGGCTGGTGCTGCGATACGACCTCTGTTCTCCCGCGGCCGAGCTGTTTTCTGAACGGCCGTTCGACGGCTCTGGTTCGAATGTCTGGGCAAAGAGTCTGTATGAAGGCACGCCTCTCTTTTTTGAAAGCACCGTTTACTTTGCGTGCTGATCCAAAGGCTATTGCCACCGTTGTGGGGTTCGGCATGGATATGGAGGCTGGCGGGGCGTTGGGCAATCATGAGCTTCGTCTTAGCGACACGACGGCCCCCAAATCCCCGTACCTCCAGCCCGGGCTCTCCCTGATGAACGAGGCGATAGCTGGGCCCAACCTGGTGATTTGGCTAGTTCCAGGTGGCGGGTTACACCACCTCGGATGCCAATGCAGCGCTCGGGCGGCGGGACCGCGGCCATCGAACGACTACGACGACAGTGGCAGCAGCCAGGGCGAATAGGATGAGAAGCCCAATCCCAAGCTTAGGAACGCGGTCCAGAGGCGCGACACAGGTCAATAGCGCCCCAGCGGATTGAGCTTCGGAGAGCAGCACTCCGTAAGTGTTCTCGCGGCTGCGGCTGCGGCTGCGGCCGGAGATGCCTGCGGGAAAAGAGAGCGCGTGGGAACCAACTTCGCAGCGCCTGTAACTAGTTATTTAGCCACCCAAGCTCTATACTCTCAGTAGCCAACTACTTAAATATGTTCTACAGAGTATGCCGTATCTCAACCGCTCAAGCGATGCGATGCCAGCAGCGCGACGGAATAGACTAGACAGAGCCCTGGCGCGTTAGCGTGGCAGCGTGCTTGGCGATGGCGAGCTTGGGCAATGATAGCCATCTCGAAATTCCTCCTCTGGGACCAGGGGCCTAATTCATCCTTCCGCTGGCTTCCTCTGGCTCGTGCTGGACGTTTCTGCTTTTGATCCGCGAGCCCTAAAGTGCGTCAGTTGTCTGGGTCTGTTCCGGCGTCACCACTGCTTTCCGAGCAGCCGCGTTTAAGTTCGCTACCCCTTTCGCCTGTTCCCCAGCGTGTTCCCACCCAGCCGCTGTGGCCGCTGTTGGGCTGTGAGCAAACGCCATCCTTCAGCTCGACTCTGGCAAATGATGCCCCAGCCTATCCTCTAAACGCCGGCGTAACACCTACATGATGATTTGCCGCTATTAATTGGTGTATCCACTGTATGTATGCCATACAGCGTCCCATCCATCGGACGTCCTACGAGCGTAGCCAGGGGATATTGACAACCTGTTGACCAGAGAGAAGAGCTGACTGATACCCAGACATTTCACACTACTAGGTGCTTCTCCGCTTGACTTGTTGGGCAATTGCGTCAGTCGGCATCGTGGCCCTGACCTCACATCCCATGCCGCCCTACACGCCGCATAACCAACAGAAGTACCTGCTACATATTTTTTTTTTCAGTGGATAGACTACTGCTACGAATAGATTTATGCTTCTCACCCCTCTGTCGCCATGCCCTGGAAACCCTTACCCCGGATTGCATTTGCGGTCGCCGTCTACCCGTTTCAGCCTTCCTCGCCTGCAGACCTACCCCTCGAACTCGGAGACGAGTTATACATAATTGAGCAAGGTGGCAAGGATGGAGCATGGTATCGCGGGTATCTGGTTGCTCCGCCGTCGTTATTGGCAGGCCTCACAAGTGTCAAAGGACAGACGCTGGAAGCTCGAGTATTTTCCGGGATATTTCCCAAGAATTGCGTCGAAGTCCGTGAGGTTCTTGGAGAAGCGGATAAAAATAAAGAAAATGGGGTGACAAACGTGGAGGTGGTACAAGTCAACGGAAATTTGAGCCCCGTTAATGGCGAGGACGCCGACAAACCGAATGGCCTAAAAGATTCATCTCCCCGAAAAACTTCTCAAATAACAGTTATTAGATTAGACGAAGATGCCGGAAAACGACATTCGGCGTTTCCCATACGATCACCATCGCTTGCCTTGACTCCTCGCTCTACGGGCTCCCGCGGCCCGAATGCCCCCAAACCGCCCGCCCCAGTTCCAATGCTTAAAATCGGGGACGAAACACCCACATCACTCTCAGAGCCTTTAGTGGACGAAATCGCATCATGTCTACGAGAATGGCACTCTACAAATATTCATGAGCTTCTGTTGGCGAGACAGTACAATGCACTGGAAAACATGTCGAATATCGTTCTAGAGCTAGACTTAGCACGACGACAGCTTCTTCACAACGTCTTGACCGCCCAGGAACGGTTATCACTTCGAGAGGAAACGGTTTGGAATTTGGTACGGGGAAATAAAACGTTAACTGGAGACGTTATTGTGCGTGATCCGAAACAACGAGGGCGGTTGCTTATAGGTGACGACTCGGCTACAGAACTGGCGAAGCTACAATCCGAAATGAGCATGCTTGATGGTGAGGCAAAACCACAAGTAGATACGGTTTCGCTGCACCATGTTCTTTGCGAAGTGAACGGAGTTACAGGAACCAAGGCTGGCTCGGTATCTTTGGCGTTAAGCCTCTGGTCTCGAACCGCAAAAGGCGACATGAAGCAATTAGCGGAAACATACTCTGTCAATATCCCGTCCGCAGAAACATTTGCTTCCATGTCCCAGAACGGTAGTCTAAAAACTCTCTTCACAGGGTTGAATGCTGCCGATATTGGAGATAGCTCGGCTTCTGATTCTAACCTTTATCTTGTTGTGCAAGTGCTAAGCCATGAAATTACGAGACAAGTTCAAGCTTCTAATTCTCGGGCGCCTTCTCGGGACGGCCCTATGGGGAATAAATCCAATCCAGTTCTAAACAGTGTTGGCAAAGGTAACCTAAGGGGAAGGCGGAGCATGATATGGGGACCAAAAGCTAAAGGTGTGCCGCAACCTGATCAGAATGACACCATGGGACCGCCACGGTCGAGAGACTCGACCAGTGCTTCTATAAGAACCGAGAAAACGACCAAGGAGACGTCAATTTTGCGAATTATTGGCGTTGGCGTTCTAGAAGTTGGCACTGTACTTAGAGCAGGCAAGGACGTTGACCAGATTATCAATATATGGGCTCCTCTGGGTGTCATCGATGAGCAGGACAATTACACCGAAGGATTCGACAATGTTCTGCGATCCTTTTTACACAGCCCAACCGGCAGGTACGGCAGATGTTATCGCGCTTCCAGAGTCCACGTAAACCTTCACCCATTCGCGAGCGAGGATACAGGGAGCCTGATTCGGAACAATCCAACATTGCTCCATAATGTTACCAGGACGAGACGAATTGGCTTTCCGGCGGCTCCTACGAAACCTCGTTCCGATATTTATCTTACTTTGTCAAAAGCGAATATTTCCCAGGATGCTCTTCTCTCTCACCCGATAAATGGACAAGTCCCCGTTCCCCAGACGAGCGGTCTGCGAAACCTACAGCTTACTCTCGAAGCACGAAATGCCTCGGGGGAAAGAATTGAGCATTGTATTTACCCTTCCTCAAACTCCATAGGGCTAACGGCCTGGAGAACAGCCGTTGCAGAACGAGGTTCCGCTTGGAACCAAACCATTAGGTTGAATATTCCATCGGATCAAGTCCAAGGCTCTCACTTGATTATGAGCGTTGCAGATGCTCCCGATTTTCCGTTTGCTTTAAGCTGGATTCCGCTATGGGACCAACAAGCTTTTATCCGAGATGGACGGCACTGCCTGCTGCTCCACGCGTACGATAAGTGCACGTCAACTGTTGAAAATGGGAAAGGCTCATACTTGTCACTTCCATGGAGCGCGCTAGGGAAGAACGAATCGGCAAAAGATGAAGCCGTGACAGGTCCATTAGCAACATTAGTACTCGAAACTGAACTCTGTAGTACTGAATTTTCCCAAGACCAGATTTTGCTTGGTCTCATAAATTGGAAAGAAAAGCCTGCCACGCAACTCCTGGAGCTCCTGCGGAGGGTGATTTTTGTGCCGGAGATCGAAATCGTCAAACATCTTCGTGATGTTTTCGATGCCTTGTTTGGTGTTATGGTAGAGCATGCTGGCAACGAGGAGTTTGAAGATTTGATTTTTAGAGATTTGGTCACCGTTCTCGGTATTGTTCACGATCGTCGCTTTAACCTAGGACCCTTGGTTGATAAATATGCGGAACAACAATTCAGTTTCCCGTTTGCAACTCCTTGTTTGATCAGGAGCTTTTTACGTCTGCTCCAAGGTACTTCTGATCCACAGCAAGCTCGAAATCTTCGCGCCGCCTTCAAGGTTGGACGACATATCTTAAAGTTCATCATCAATGCCAGGGGCCAACAAAAGGCCAAGGAAGAGTGCATTGGCATAACGAACATTCAGTCGACGTTCAACCGCGACCTGCATTCGATATTTGAATCGGTGGAGTCACTAATGCAAAACCCAGCTCCGAATCTCGTTGGCAGTAAAACTTTGGCTGTACAACATTTTCATACTTGGCTTCCTGAGCTTGCGAATGCTCTAACGAAAGATGAAATCTCTGACATTGCCTTCAGCTTTATGGATGCCTGCAAGGATGTGAAGAACATGCTGATTCTCTATAAACTCGTGTTGATTTTGAACTATACTAGATTGCCATTGTTCGAAGAGCCCGATAGGAGGAAACTTTTAATCCCCAGAAGCATCAAATGGCTGGCACCTTATTGGGGAGAAACTTCAGAGGTTACTGACCAATACAGAGACCAGGTTCGCCTCTGTTCGTCAGTTGTGGCGGAACAGTTAAAAACTCCTAGCCCCGAGCTCTTCGAATACATGCCCAAGGCGGTGGCCTCATATTGTGCAATTGTGACCGAAGGCGTTGAGGAGAGCGACTGGCTTTCCTTGCTTTTTAGTAAATCTTTCCCATTCCAACTAAAGCAATCAAAAACGAAGCAAAAATTTGACGAGGCACTTGTGGAACTCTCCGCCATCATTGCTGTAATGTCAAAAATCCAACGGCCCAAGGAACTATCGTTATCGCAAGATGAGATGGCAGTGTTTCTATCTCACACCTTCAACAGTCATAGATCCATCCTTGACTGCGAAGCTTATCCTGCGACTTGGCTAAGTCTGTATATTTATCATCATCAGTCTATTACTAAAAGTCTCGACGATCTTTCCTCGATATTGATAAAATATTTTCTTCCTGCCCCAGATGAGGCTGATACCTTCGATATGGAACTATGGAAACTCTTCTTCACGACACTATTGAAGGTGGTATCTAGCGATGCCTTGGCGCTGGAGACCTTCCCAGAACAGAGGCGACGAGCCGTGTGGAAAATCGCAGGCGATGTGCGAGAGTATGGTGCAGAGCTACTTCAGAGAACCTGGCGATGCATTGGCTGGGATACCACTGCTGAAGAACGAGCGCGGTACGGCTTAAGCAAGTTAGGGGGCTACCAAGTTCAATACGTTCCAAGTCTTGTTGCCCCTATTATCGAGCTGTGTCTCAGTGTGCATGAAGGCCCTCGACGTGTTGCCGTGGAAATTTTACAGACTATGATTGTCAGTGAATGGCAGTTGAACGAGGATTTGTCTATGGTCGAAGCGGAAATAATATCAAGTCTGGATGAACTATTCAAAACGAAAAAGTTCCACGAAGGAATAACCCAAAAGCTGTTTATCACTGAATTACTTGGGCTATTCGAAACGCCCTCGGGCGCCTCGGATGCGGAGCTAATGGTCACGTTAAAGGAACTCATCGCAACTGTGGATGAGCTGTTGGATCTTTTAGTAGCCTCTCACAATGGCAATATCACTGAGAGCTTAAACACGATTAAGCTCATGGAGTTCATGAAAGACATGGAACGAGAAGATATTTTCATCCGGTATGTCCATGAACTAGCAAAGGGCCAGGCTACCACACGCAATCACACTGAAGCCGGGCTTGCTCTTCAATTCCACGCCGACCTCTATGATTGGGATATTTCAAGAACCGTGCCCTCACTTTCGAAACCACCGTTCCCGAAACAGACAGCTTTCGAGCGCAAGGAAACATTATATTTCGAAATTATCCAATTTTTTGAAGATGGAAAAGCTTGGGCCCACGCTCTCTCATGTTACAGAGAACTTGCATACCATTATGAACATACAATTATTGACTTCTCAAAACTTTCAAGAACGCAGGCGTCTATGGCTCGAATTTATGAGGCAATTGTTAAAGAGGACATTTTAGTTCCGCGATACTTCCGTGTTACTTTCAAGGGTCTTGGATTTCCAACTACATTGCGAGATAAACAGTACATATTTGAGGGGTCACCATTGGACCATATGGCTACCTTCACGGATCGTATGCAGAAACAGTACCCGAGTGCTCAATGCATTTTCACAGGGGAGATCGAAAATCTCGAGGGCCAATACTTACAGATTTCTCCTGTCAGCGTACACAAAGATGTTGAACATCCAGTTTATCAACGCCCGAAGGTCCCGCAGTCTGTTCGGGAACATCTTTTAACGGCTGTTACTTCAACATTTTCCGTTACGTCGAAAAAGAATATGAAAGGCACCAATGTTAAAGAGCAGTGGATTTCAAAGACGGTTTTCACCACGGCAGAGCCGTTTCCTAATGTCTTGAGGCGGAGTGAAATTGTAGCAAATGAAGAGATTACCCTTACTCCTTTGCAGACGGCTATTGAGCGTACGTCCAGGAAAACCCAGGAGTTGCTGATGTTTGAAAAGAGAGTGGTGTCTGGCGATGATACAAATATGACGAATTTGACGGAGGTATTGGGTCATATGCTCGACATTGAGTCAATGACGCCCACCTGCGTAGCCCAGTATCGACAATTTTTGCCTGACGATGAAGACTTGCATCACGACTCGGATGATGAGGATTCCAAACCGCAGGCGCCTATCGATCCTCTGACTAACGCACTGACGGTAGCCCTAGTTGACCATGCTCTTGCAATTAAGCGGTGCATTATGCTATATTCACGCCCTGCATATCAAGCTACGGGAGCTGAGCTCACACAACGATTAGAAGCTGCTTTTGCCCCTGAACTCCTATCTCTGGCCAATTCCCCTTCCCAGCAACCACAATTTGGATCTCCAGCTCATTTCAGCCCTCAGTCTGAGCCAACAATAAATGGATGTACACCACGCTCGCCATTAAGTCATGTCGCCAGTCCGAAACCAGAGTCGAGAATGTCGCGCGACAGTCTTCCAAGACCTTTCCTTGAGAAAGCCCCGATTGGCAATCGATTGAGCCTTAATTTGTTTAAACGATCGAATCACGCGTCCAGTCCCGACATTACGGCTACTAATTCCGTCATAGCGCCTCAACAAAGCCTAGGTCGACTAGATGACGCCGCCAGTCATCATAGCAACCCTGTCAAGGGCTCTATTCGAGCTACAGGCTCGACCAGCGGAATATCAGACCGGGATCGGGAGGCCTCACAAGTTCGGAATAGAAATCGCAGTCAATCACGCAGTGCGAAGAGTGACAGCAGCAAAAAACGGAGAAGCTTCTTCAGTAACAACGAGAAGGTTATTGACGTACCCCAAACAACACCAACCACATTGCCCGCCAGTCCCCGCACCGAAGACATGCGCACCACGCAGCAGAGAATCGTGGAGCGAGCCAACAAGTCCCGAGCGGCGCAGCAAAACCAAAACCAGCCGGAGAGATCCAGCTCGATACCAAACCGTGTCGTGCAGCGGGTGTCGCCGCAAAACGGAACGAGCGACGGTGGCAGCAGCCGCCCCGTGACGTCTGAGAGAAGCTCGCCCGCGCGCCCGAAGACTTCGCACAGCATGGCCAGCGAACAGGGAAGCGTTGGTGGCGGCATGCGGGACTCCGTCAAGAAGCGATTCAGCTTATTGAAAGTGGGTCGAAAGGCTAGCAAGATGAATTTCCGTGACGGCCACCTGGGAGGAGCCTTGCGAGAGGAATAATCCGATTCAATTGAGCTTATTCTTAAGGATATTCTTTTCTTTCTTTATTTTGATCAAGAAATTCTTGAAGATAGTTTCTCTCAATGCACTTTATGCCCCTTTTTTTGACCCTTGGTTTAGATACGATATTTCCTTTATCTACCTCTGCCTTGGGCCCACACATTTGATACCATCATGTTGATGATTCTATTCCTTCACATTCTGAATCTCTGGCATAGCTGCCATTGTATACACATACTATATTATTGCATATATTGTTTGGCCGGTTCTTTAACGGTGGTATATTTGCCGCGTTTATTCCCCTGTGCTTGAACCCTTCGCTCCTTGTTCCATTCTTTCTTTCTACATTCGTTCAATAGGGGGTGTTATTACCATAGATTAGTAAGCCGTAATTTCATAAAAGAATTTCGAAGTATATATACATTTTTTTATCGTTTCGGTAGACCAATCGAAGAAGTATGGAAATTAATGTAGTTAGTTTATTATTTTTCTATGCTAAATCCACGTAAAACGCCAGGCTCAGGGGACGCAACCCAATCAAAACCAAAGGATATCAACGTTCATAAGTATACAGGCAAATATAAGGAAGCAAAAAGAAAAAATGGTGGTACCAGTGAGGTAAGTTGATACCGAAGGATCGTGAAGAACTGAAAGGAAAACAAAAACCATCAAATATTTTTCATGAAAGCTAGGAAATGGCAGTTTGATTGTAGAACAGATCGCAGTGGTGCGGGTGCTGCCGACAATACTTGGGCTGGAGCGGCGCGGCCATGACACCATTCGCAACGAGATACTCCCTGAAGTTCAGGATCCGCTGGGTCATTTCCGTGGTGCGCTTGGTGCCGTTCTTGCGCAGATTGCCGGACCACACGAGCTCAGCCAGGGCGGCGGCGCGGGGCCAGAACTTCGCAGAAATGACGACGTCGTCGACCTGCTCGGACCAGAGCGGGGCGATGGCGCCCAGGACGTGCTTCTTCTCGGCGTCGGTGAGGCCCTTGGTGAAGTCGTAGTTGTAGATGCGCTGCCAGCTCTTGTAGGGCCCGCACCAGGAGCCGCCGTTGCCGCCGTAGTTGAAGTTGGGCACGTCGGCGGTGGGGTTCTCCATGACGTTGTAGCGCGGGTCGTTGCCGACCCAGCCGCCGAAGCCGCAGTCGAGGTACATGAAGTCAGCGGAGGAGACGATGACGTCGTAGCCGAGGGTGGTGAGGTTCTTGATGTGCGCGATGCCCTCGTTCCAGGACTGCATGATGACGTCCTTGGGGATGTTGGTGGCGTGCATGTTCTTGGAGAGCAGCATGTCTTCCCACATGACGAGGCGGCGGTTAGGTCGGTCCTTGTGCATGATGGGCAGGGTCTTGTCCACCCAGAACTGCAGGAGGCCATTGAAGGTGCGCGAGGGGTCTGCCTGGAACCAGTTGCGGACGTGTTTGCTGAATTTGAAGCAGTTGGGCTGGAGCTCGTCGCCGCCGACGTGGAACCAGTGGTCGGAGAAGAGGCTGCTGATGTCTTTGTAGACTTTGGCGACGACGTCGTAGGTCTTGTTGTTGGCGATATCTAGCTGGCCAGGGTTGGGCTCGACCGCGGTGTGTTTCTCCCAGACGTCGTTGGACCACCAGGAATCCGCACAGGCCAGGACATCGGGGTCGATCTGCTTGTAGCCAGATGCGGAGTGGCCCGGCATATCAATCTCCGGGACGATGCGCACGCCACGAGCCCGTCCGTAGTCGATGATGGCGCGGACATCGGCGGGCGTGAACACCTCTCTGGGCGAATAGGCATCCTTGGTCATCTGGGGGAAGGACTGCACCTCGATGGGCCACGACTGGGTGTCTGTGATGTGCCAGTGGAGCACGTTCATCTTGGCCAGGGCCATGGCGTTGATCTGCTCAAAGATCTTGTCGAGGCTGATGAAGTTGCGGGCGGTGTCGACCATGATGCCTCGCACAGGGTACAGCGGCGCATCCTTGATGGTGACGGGCTGCTCGACGACCAGCACGCCCTTGTCGACGATGACGAGCTGCTGCAGCGTGGTGAAGGCGTGCAGGGCTCCCCACTTGGTCTTCGCGACGATCTCGATCTTGTCGGAGGCACTGGCAATGGTCAGGGTGTAGGACTCGTCGACGCCGTGCTGCAGGTCGGCATCGGCCATCTCGACCTTAACATCAACGCTGCGGATACGGCGGGGGGCATCCCGCTTGTCAGTCTTGCTGCTGGTGGTGGTGGTGTTGAAGGGCGGGAAGGGCGCGAAGGTCGGGATGGGGGCCTCGACGGCGGCGGGCGTCCATCGCAGGCGGACGACGGTGGCCCAGGCGCGCAGCCAGGCAGCCTTGACGTCCGTGTCCAGCGGGCCGTTGTATCGCAGCGCCCACTCGAGATGCAGCGGGCCCGACGAGCCCCATTGGATGTCGCGCGGTGCCGGCAGCGGGTTGACGGCGACGGAGAGGCAGAGGAGGGGCGCGGAGAGGAGCGAGAGGGTGAGGGCGGCGGCGCGAGGGAGCAGCATGGCTCACGGCGCGTTTCAGCGGTGTTTCGACAGCAGGTAGGCAGCGGGAGCGGGGGATATATAATAGGATCAAGGAGGAGGAGGAGGAGGAGGAGGAATAGCAGGTCAAGCGCAGGCGGAGAAGAGCAGGAGGAGGAGAAGGAAGATGAAGCCCGCGACGGGCCAGGCGACTGAGGGCGCTTTATAGAGGGAATCGCCGGCAGGACGGCCGCGCGAACGGGCCGTCAAAGCAGCGACGAGCAGCAGCAGCAGCAGCAGCAGCGGATGTAACGCCGCGATCGTCGAGAAGCGCGAGAGGCGGGCGAGAAGCTCAGCAGCGAGTTGGTTATCACGATTAACTACGCCGTGATGCGCTCGTATGCCATCCCTGCCGGCTCCACGCGACGCCGTCCGTGTCTGCGGCCCGACTCTCTCGATGAAATACACCCTCTCTCTCTCTCTGCTCTATTCTACCCTACTCGCTCGGCTCTACTCATGACTATTATTATTACTCCGTATTCTACTTCGTACTCTCCCTACTGCTGATCGCTCATCTCCCGCGGACCGCCTCGATTAGGTTGTTTCAGCGCGGAGTTTTGGCTCGCCCGGCGGCCTCCCGAAACTCAACCACCGCCGGACTCGCGCGCGTCTGACTGGCGAGGCAATATCCCCGAGCCGTGCAGTGTCTTATTCGCAAGGAATGGACTAATATTGACTACTTGGCTGTGTTAGGATTATTATGATCATTGCAGCAGCCCAACCCGCCATCCATCCAAAATGCCCCCAGCACGCCGAGAAATCGCTCAGAGGCATAATTAGCTATCATACATACTCGTACAAAAGGCACACAGATCGAACAGTAATCCAACCGCCGTCAACTCATCCGCTCCGATGGCGGCCTGTCAGCACACGGCTCGTGCCCGAGACGGCAAACGTCGAGAGGCGGGCAGCAAAGGGTGCGCGCGGAATCACGAAGGAACTAATAACTCGCGAACGAACACGCGGGCCGTGACTTGCTACGATCAGGGGCACAACCGCTGGCTTGACGAGTTGGCTAGTTAAGCACCATGTGCATCGGCTGGCGCGGCGTGCTCGCTCCCCTGTTCATCTGCGGCGTCTTGTTTTGTCGTGTCGCCCCGTCTTGGGCCGGTGCTGGCTTTGACGCCGTCAGCGCTGGGCTTTGGGCCCTCGCGCCGCCTGCTGGTCCATCTCCACCTCCAAGCACTTTCATCACGCCGCGCCAATAATCGCCTCCAGCTGACAGATCGCCTCTCTGGCGGGGTCGCAAGCCGCGTCTATCGCCAGCCAGATCCTCCAACACCGCGTGCGCCGCATATTTCGCGTCGACAAACCCACGTACACAGAGCTGCAGCGCCTCGCAGATGGCCGTCATGTCGTCTTCGGCTGCCACCAGCTCGCGTTCGTTGCTCGCCAGCAGCTGTTCCATCTCTCGGGCCGCCGCCATGGACTGAGTGTCGCTGTCATGGGCCTCATGAAACATGCCCTGTGCAGCACGGAGATCGTACAGGCGCGGCTCATACATTATATACCACAAGAACGCCCCGAAGTACATGGCGCGAAACGCAATGAGCCCTTGCAGGATCTCCCGGTGGTCGTGACGCAGCTTGCTTCCATGCCAGCCTAGCTGTCGTTGGATTTCTTGATAGTCGAGCTTGGGCTTGGGCTCCCCGTCCGAAGTGCACACGTCTATCTTCCCTACCAGGCGGCCCTTCGATTGACAACGGTCGACGATCGCTGCCAGAAACGACTCTGGGTGCCGGAGAGGGTCGCTGTAAGACAGCCTGGCAAAGTCAAAACAGAAATTCACACGAAGTTCCAGCAGATGGTCTTCCCTGCCAGATGACAGCCTGTGTGCCGTCTCGTAGCACCTTGCTAGAAACAATTTGAGTTTAGAGATATGAGGGCGTGTGTCGCTCATTTTGTGTTTCTAACGGCCGCCAAATGCAGGATCTGGCTAGTAGTATTTGCCGCAGGAGAGAGACAGAATTGTGAAAAAGAGATGACACAGAGTGTGAAGGGGAGAAGAATACTAATAGACTGCAGCTCCTCTGTAAGTAGAATAGGATAGTGGTAGCGATATGTAAGAAAGTGTTGTGGGACACCCATCCATATACAGGAAAGAGTATAAAGCCCGGTTCATCTGGCTGCGCCAAACTGTATACTGCCGCTTGCACCAGTTTCTTGCACCTTGAAAAGAAGAAGTTAAAACTTCCTTTGGCTTTTTTGGCCTTTCCCTGTGTAGTGGCAGGTTTACTTGCAAGAAATGGGGGTGGCGACCAGTGCTGTGTAGTTACTCCAGCCCACGGGGCAAAAAAGCTGCACATTCACAACACCAGGGCTCTCTCTCTCCTTTTCTTTGTTCAAACTATGTGTTCTTCATCTAGCTTGATCCTCTTTACTGCCACATGCACCCTCTGACACATGTGGAAGGTCAACATCAACAACCCAGGGGGCATTCAAAGGTTGATACGAAACAGTCAATATTGCTGCATTCACAAACAGCGTCTCCGTGCCGAACTTCAGTGGATTGTCACTGTCACCACTCACATCGACGAACGCTCCTCTGTTCTTGAGCTCTGCATCCCCGTCTTGCAAAATGGTCTCCGAGATCTCTGAGTTCCAGTTCATCCTCACGGCGCCATAGCCTTCGTGAATATGCCCAAAGCAATGGATCAAGGGCTTTGCACGGCCTACAGCCCGGCGCAGATGCTCACAGCCCACATCTTCTCCGCGAAAGACGCGGTCCAGGAACCCCCTCGGCGGGCCGTGGGTCATCATGATGTGCACGCCCGGGAACGACGGCACCGGGTTCTCAGGTTGCGCCGTCGCAGAGGCACTAAAGCGGTCTTGGTCTCGCTGGTAGCCAAACGCCCAGTCGCAGAACGCCGGCTGATAGGGGGTGGTATAGATGGTGAACTGCGCGCCGTTGCGCAGCGAGAACGTCCGCAGGCCTTCCTCAACGTAGCAGATGCCATGGCGCTTGGCCTCATCGCCGCAGTACAAAGCGCGGATCCTAGCCAAATCCGCGACTTGGCTGCGGCGAGAAAGATATCGCTCGCGGCCGACGGCGTTATAGTACGCTTCGTCCAGCGACGTGTCGTGGTTGCCGGCGATGACGATCTTCAGCTCGGCGTCGGCCTGCTTGAGCATGTCCACCATGACTTCGTGCTCGTTTTCCATCCCGCTCATGGTGATGTCGCCAGCGTGGAGGAGCACGTCCGCGGAGGGCAGCGGGTGGCGGTATGGTGTAAACCGCTCGTCTGCAGAGTGCAGTCCGCACGCATGGGTACAGTTGGTTGCAAAAGTATTGCGAAATGTGCCAAATTCGCGTTTTTTAGCGTGCCCTAGGAACTCCACACAAAACATAGATATGTAGAAACCCGATTTTGCTCGAATTTGGCTTGTACGATCAACTGCGATCTATTTCTCATATATTTTGTTAGTAAAATTGTTTCAATAGTGATAGTTAACCTCTCACATATCAAACCATGGCCCCCTGTAAGTCCTGCTGCCCTGTGCCCAAAGCTATCAAGAAGACAGCCCCTCTGTGTGCCAAAACTGCAGAAGCTTCTTCTGGGCTCAAATTGAAGCTTTGGGGCTCAGCTTTGACTTCTGTAGCAGCTGAAGATGAGGGTACAGATGCTGATCAGAAGAATATGCAGTTTGAGTCTCTGAAGACTGTTTCTACTGCAGAGGAATGTGATTGAGGTTTTATCAAGAGTCTGTCTGTCAATCTTTTGCTGCCATCATCACCATCATCACTGCCTGATCCTCTAGATAATGTCAGTATCATTGTTATTGTTAAATGTATGATTGGAAAGCAGAATGTGGCAGGAAAGACTCTTCTTTTGAAGCTCATGGAGTCTTTTGAATGAGAGTCTTTCTGAGCTTAGTATTTTATGGAGGTTAATCACTGAGGCTATAAGAATGAGCAAAGAACCTCTTATATTGATGCTCTAGCACAGATTTTCTATACAGAGGCAAAGGCTCAAAGCACAACTATCATGAAATCATTCATTAATAATCAAGAGAACTGGCAGCAGTTATTAACAGTTCTTGGACATCTCATACAATCAGACTCTGTGTGCAAATATATTCATATAGTAATGAATTTTGCAGTGAGTTCTTTCAAAACAGCATTCAAGCTGATAACTACTGATATAGAATCTTCAAAGTGCTTCAAACTGAAGCCTCTGTCTGTTATTGTGGAGAATATATTCTCTTTGCTGCTGTCACTGCTGCTGTCAGTACAGTGCAAAAGACCACAATCAATGTCTACAATCTGCCAGCTTGCTGAAATTAAGGAGGAGAAAGGTTCTAATACTGCTTGGTTAATAAAAGAGCTGCAAATCAATTATTCATGTGAATTAAAGCAGGGCATGCTACATCTACTAATCCTTCTGAAAAGCTTGTGAAGCAGTGGCTATGAGAGTGTAAGACTCCGTGCTGCAGCCTTCTTACATTCATTCCATCATCTAAAAGAGATTCATAAAATCTTCTTGATGCTTAGATGATCATGCTTCATGGCATCTGGAATTTGTAAACTCCATGACTGATTACATGATCACACTAGCAAAGCTGAACACACAAAATCTGCCACAGACACTTCTTTACAAAGATCAGTGGCAACATATCTAGAGATTCTAGATACTGTTGTAGTAATATAAGTTATCTCTCTCTCTCTCATGCTTAGATTTCTTCATAACCACTTCTCACTCAACCTAACCTCATTTACAAAAGCTGTAAGCCATTGCCATGTTACCTGCAACCACCCAATCCTCACAGTTTGCCACTGACCTTCATAAAGAGATGATGAATCAGACTTTGACTGGTTGCAATGATTTCAATAACACTTGCAACAAGTGGGTGAAGAGACACAGAGTGTGGATAAGTTCAGCAAACACCTTTTCCTATGGCAATATGACAAATCTATGCACAACAAGCTGGATGAACAGAAGGATCTCCCAGAGAAACTGAATGAGATTCAGACAGTTGCAATGCAATTACAATCTAGTGTCAAGAGTTTCACTCCCAACCCAAAGTCACAATTCATCTCAGAGACAAATATCAACTGTGGTGGAACACCATTCTATTCAAATCAAGCCCATGGATCATGAGATCAGGGTTATAGAAACAAGATCTGAATCTCATCATGACAGAGAGAGAATCAACATCAGAGAATCTTCAATTTTCAGTTTACAAATTCAAAGTGAAGTGGAAAATCAGATAAGAATGCTTGCTACAATTGTGATGAGACTGATCACTATGCAGATAAGTGCATCAAGTCAAAGAAGAAATAGAGATTTGAGAAGCAGTCTGTAGATAGAATGAATATCAAGCAATTGAAGTTGTCTGAGCTACAAGCTGTTTTCTCAATCACATTGTCTGTCAGAGTTCATAACTCTAAAATAGAAAAAGAAATTAAGTGAACTGCTGTGGCAGATTCACTATGTTTCTTTCTGATCATAAGTCTGAAGCTTGCAGTAAGACTGGGTCTGAAGGTTCATAAGATGAATGTTGAGATGAAGACTGCAGAAAAGAATCATTTAAAGTTAGTATCTGAAGAAATTATGAACATTTTCTTTGAGACACAAGATACTATGAATAATTGACAGATGTTTAATGAGCAAGCATTAATTGCTGATATATCTGAGAACATAATGTTAGATCTCTTCTGACTACATCATCATGATTCTGTTGTTTCATTTGAAAATCTGTCACTTAAGTTTCATAAACAGAGTGGATTAGACTCTATGACAAAAATTAAGTCAATTTCTCTAAATGAACTTGTCAATGGTGATAAACTCTTCTATGTAATGAGGGTTCATAAAAGTGAACAAGTCATCATCATGAATGTGGATCTGCAGATATCAGACAGTTATAAAGATTTAATTAATGCATTCAGTGATGCAAAAGATGCTTTCTTGCTCTCTCATCAGAAGAATGATCTAGACATTGAGTTGTTGTCAGAGACAGTGTTAAAGTTTGATTCCATTTATCAGCTTTCAGAAACAGAGACAGAGGCTTTATGAGAGTATGTCAACTTCATTTTGTCAAGTGAATTCATCAGACTCTTCAGATCATCAGCTGGATCATCCATTCTGTTTGCAAAGAAGAAGAATGAGAGGTTATGAATGTGTGTGAACTATTGAGACTTAAATTCAAAGACAGTAAAGAATCAATATCCACTTCTACTGATTGAAGACATTCTGAATCAGATTGGAAAAGCTAAGATCTATATTCAGCTGGATGTGAAGAATGCATATCATCATTTACAAATAAAAAAGAGAGATGAATGGAAAACAGTCTTTTAAACTTCACTGAAAATGTTTAAATATCAGATGATTCCATTTAAACTTACAAATGCACCAGCAGCATTTCAGTCATATATCAACAAGATACTGAGAGAGTACTTAGATGTCTTTGTGATGATGTATCTGAATGATGTCATGATGTACTCTGAGAATGAGAAAGAACACACTGAACATGTTCATAAAGTGCTCAAGACACTGAAAGAGACTGAACTCTATTGTAAGAGATTTAAGTGTCAGTTCAGTGTTACAGAGATAGACTTTCTGAAGTATGTAATATCATCAGAAGATGTTTCAATGAAAAAAGCTCAGATGAACACAATCATTTCTTGATCAGAGTTCAAGAGTTGCTGAAATATTTAAGTCTTTCTGAGATTTACTAACTTCTACTGACAGTTCATTCCCAAGTTCTCCAAGCTCACACTTGGTTTGACTAGCATGTTAAAGAGTGGGAAGTCAGGGAAGAAGTAATTCAGAAAGAAAAGAAGAAGAAGTGAAGAAGTGAACAGTTCACTCAGCTTTCTCACAGAAGAGGCTCATAAATTCTTCTATGACTTAAAGAAGACATTTACAAAGCAAGTGATGGTATATCACTTTGATTCAAAGAAGAAAATCAAGCTGAAAACAGATGCATCTGAATTTACTGTGTGTGGAATTCTCTCTCAGCTACAGAAGAATGATATGTGGAGATCAGTGAGATTCTATTCAAGAAAGATGATTTCAGCTGAGTACAACTATGACATTTATGATCAAGAATTACTGATCATAGTTGAGTTATTTCATCAATGAAGATGCTGACTGAAGAGATCAATTCAATTCATTTCTGTTCTGACTGATCATGACAGTCTCAGACATTTTGAAATCACACAAAAGCTGTCAAGATGATAAGTGCAGTGGATTCAGAAGTTATCAGCTTTCTGATTTAAAATTGATTATGTGAAAGAATCAAAGAATCCAGCAGATGATTCTTCACAAAGATCAGACTATACTGAAGCATTGAAATATGAGAATATCTAAAAATGTAAAGCAGCTGAACAGCTCTGTTTTATATTAATCTGTTCTGACCAGCAAGCTGAGAAGAAAGACTCAGAACATGTCTTGTCTAATAGAAATATGCACTCTGTGAATAGAAAGACATATTATAAATCAGAACAGACTTACATGAAGCTGCTTCTGAGTGATACTTACAGTATTTAAAGATTTGAGAATGAGTTACAAAATGTCAAGCAGCTCATTCTCAGTGATGCTCTGAATGAAACAGACTTACAAGAAACTGCATCTCTGAATCTAATAACAATGTTATCTGAGATGCTTGCTGATGACAACCACCCAATAGAGATTAGAAAGAATCTTCAGTTAGACTCAACTAAATTCACAGACTGAACAGAGAAGAAAGACTGTCTCTTTATGAAAGAGCATCTCTATATACTTACAAATGAAGCTCTGTGAATTGAATTGATTAAAAGACATCATGATTTATCTCTGGCAGATCATTTCACAAGTGAAAGAACTTACAAACTGCTAGCACACAGATTTTATTGATCAAGAATAAAGAAGCTTGTGAAAGAATGTGTTGATGTCTGTGATGTTTACTTGAAATTCAGATGAATCTGAATGAAATCACAAGAAGAGATGTCTTCTTTATCAATTCTCAAAAAGTCTTGAAAACACATCACAATGAATGTGATTATGAATCTTCTGTTAAGTCAGAATTTTGAGAGAGTGGAATTCAACTGTATTCTGATCATTATGAATCAGTTTACAAAGATGTCTCACTTTGTTTCAGTCAGAAAAGAGCTGACATCTGAACAACTTGCTGAATTAATTATGCATGAGCTAGTCAGATTGCATGAACTTCTCTCAAGCATAGTCTCTGATTATGAGTCAATATTCATAAGTGAGTTCTGAGAAGATCTGTTATATTTTCTTAAAGTTAATAGAAGAATGAGCACAGCATTTCATTCTCAAATAGATGATCAGATTGAAAGACTGAATAGTACTCTTGAACAGTACTTACAAAGCTTCATCAATTATGAACAAGATGACTGAATTGAGAAATTGTCTCATGCAGAGTTTGCTTACAACAACTCTAGACAATTCTCAACAGAAAAGAGTCTCTTTGAGCTTTTGATGACAAGTCATCTATGAATGGATTTTCTGAAAGCAGAAATATCAGTGCCAGTCACAACTGAGTCTCATAAACTGACAGATCAGTTGGAAGAGCTGCATAAGACAGCTCAGAAGAGTCTTACAAAGATGCAAGTCTATCAAAAGAGCTACTATGACAAGAAACATACTGTGATATCATTTTACAAAGATGATCAGATGTGGTTAGATCTTCATAACATTAGAACAGTACATTCTAGCAAGAAGTTGAATGTTCTTCAGCACAGATCATGCTGAATTGTGAAAAAATTGAAGTCTCAAATCTATCAATTAAAACTATCATCAGAACTGAAAGTACACAATGTGTTTCATGTGTCTCTCTTAATTAAACACAAGAAATGAAAGGGAGTGAATAGTCAATCACATCACTCAATTCATGAGATATTCTCTGTGAAGCA